CTGCACACTAGTCTCAGCCGATCCTGGATGGGCTGCATCGCTCCGTGGTTCGGTCTGAGCTCCTGGCCGCCCTCCTGTTTGGCAGCCAACCCGGGGCCATCTTTACTCCGCCCCCAGGGCTCCTCTTCACCCCCTCCTCACATTTTGGCAGGAGCTCTCATTCATTCATCACTGCTGAGTGTACAGCCCCTTCGGAAGGCAGGCTGGCAGCTTTTTCCAAAGTGAAACAAGTCTCGTCTTAGGATCCAAAAATCCTGCCTCTAGTATTTACGAACTGTTGTGAAAAACTATGCCCAAACAAAACTAGCATGCAATTATGCACAGCAGTTCTGTTCACAATAGCTAAACACAAAATTGACTACGTCCTTCATAGATGAATGCATAAGCCAATTGGGGCGCATCCATACGAAGGGGAGCTGAACACACTGCCTCCTGCACACACCCAGAGCAGGGACTGCACACGCCCAGACCGGGGCTCAAACCCGCAACCCTAGGCATATGCCCTGACTGGGAATCGAACCTGCGAATTTTGGTTACAAGATGACACTAGAAGTTGCCCTTTTGTGAGGAAAATTTACATTTCATGAGGAAACTCCCCATTTGTGAGGGGGTCTCCCTCTTCACACCGAGAAGAGAAGGGTCACTAAAGCTCAAGAGATGCTTGTCGATGGAGCCAGGCCTGGACTTCAATCTGCATAACAGCCACGGGCTTCTTTACTGTGCTTTGCCTGCTAACCTACCTTAACTGGCTTCTCCACCCAACATATTTTTTTGGTTTTTCTAGCTGAAGATATTATCTAAGGTGATGACTTGGACCTTTTCACAGAGTTACTCAGTTTTCCTGGGTGGCTTCCATGTATACAGGAGGTATATGTGCTATTAAATTTCTATTTTTCTCCTGTTCATCTATTTTTCTTCTGTTAATCTGTCAGGGTGGGGGGTTGTTGGCCAAGAACCCAGAAGAACAGAAGGAAAATTATTTTTCCTTCCCTATTCAAGTAATGGAATACTACTCAGCAACAGAAAGGAATGAACCACCAACCCATGCAAAGACCTGGCTGAATCTTACACGAAGAAACCCCATATGAAGAGGCCACATACTAATGACCCTGAAACCAGAAAAGCCAGCGTTTGTGCTGCCTGTCACCACCAGAACCAATCAGTAGAGACAAGGACTGAATCTTCGCGGAGGCTTTATCCAGATGCCGGTGACCTGAGAAGATGGCCGGTCATCACACTAAACACCATCTTAACGTCTCAAGCTGGCCTTTTATAAGGAGAAGGAAAAGCAGGTAAGGGGTCGGGAAAAGGGTTAATCAGATAAGAGTTGCAGTCCTGCAGCGACGTCCCCAGTGTTTCCTTATCTGCTGATCAACAATTCTCTATCTGCATCACTGGACATTCTTTCCACAGAACAGCGTGGCTCGGGTGCCATCTTGCAGGCCCCCCCGGGGCCGGGAGGTTGTCAGCCTCCCAGAGTCACAAAAGTCCTGTGTTCCAGTTCCTGAAACAACAGCTTTCCAAATGCATTAGTCACGTAAGCTTATCAATTATAATTACAGCTAAAATCTTTAACGCTTGAGTTGCCTATCAGCTCCATTTATATGACGTTCTGGAAAAGGCAAAACTACAGAGATGGCGAATCGTCGTGAGGTGGGGGTTTGAAGTGTCCCATATGATCCTTCAGTAACAGATACCTGCCACTATGTATTTTTTAATGTCAACATATTTTTACAACACCAAAAGTAGATCATAATCTATTCAAATTAAGTCATTTAGGATGTGGGAGTGTCACAGGATAGAATACAGAATTTGACAAAGAATCGAACCATATTAGAAATGTGTAAAGAAAAACTTACCAAAGGCACTAGGACAAACGGTTCTGACCTAGGTAACTCTGGAAATGAATGGAATCTGTAGACTAAGCAAAATGCACTGTAGTAAACATTGGACTTGCTGCCTCACAGTCAGTCTGTTTTCTGCCTAAACCCCTGCCCCGCCCTAACTCTGTCTTTGAGAAGAGGAAAGCCTCGGGTTAACAGTTCCTTCTCAAGAAAAGACTGGTTAAAACCAGCCAAGTCTAAGATGATCACCAAAGTGACCTTCAGAAGACCTCAAATCTCACAACATATTCTCCATATTAAAGGACATACCTACCAGTCAGCAGAAACCATGAAAGGACAGAAACAAGGCAGAACTCTGATTCTGAGGAGGTTACTGCCTCCTTCCTGGAAAAAGCATGAATATTCCTCGCCCTCATCTACCTAGACCAACCCCCACCCAGTGCCAACAGCTCCTCCGTCCTGAGTGAAGGAGAAGTTAATCTGAGGATGATGTTCTTGCTTTTCCACTCCCTGGCCATTGGTTAAAGCTTAAGCTATTAAAGCTTACTTCTGATTTCCATTATTGGCTTCGAAACACCCAACAGAAAAAGAACACCCACTTAGGGTGTTCGAAAAAGGGACCTACACCCCTTGGGTAACAGACTCTGTTTTATAAAGCTCTTTCCCATGGAGAGACTGTAACAGAACCCCGATACTTGAGTCTGTCTGCCTGCTGCACTGGCAGAAAGAACTGCACAAGAAGGAGTGTGCAGCAAACAGGAAAATAGTTTATTAACTTTTGAAGATTTTATTTATTTATTTTTAGAAGAAAGGAAAGAGAAAGAGAGGGCGAGAAACATCCATGTGTGGTTGCCCCTCATGCTCCCCCTACTGGGGACCTGGCCTGCAACCCAGGCAGGTGCCCTGACTGGGAATTGAACCTGTGACCCTTTGGTTCACAGGCCAGCACTCAATCCACTGAGCCACACCAGCCAGAGCAGAAAATAGTTTCATATTGAGTTGACCGATCCGGAGTGCAGGGAACTAGTGCTCTAAAGACCCAATTCCCCAGTGGCATATAGGTTACAGATTATATGGGGCAAAAATCACAGGACACCGTGGATTAGAGGTTAGGGGTTGTGCTGGAAGCTGATTGGTGGGAGGTGAGGTAAGGGTAACACATCATTTCTTCAGGCCTTGAGAACAGCTCTGAAGTGCGCTCTGGCGCCCCTCTGGCCAGGTTCATGCAAAAGTAGCAAAGGAGTCACTCCATCTTAGGGCTCAGGAATTGAAATCGAACTTGGGCCAAGAAGTCGCCTTCAGCCTGCCAGAGGTCCAGGCCCTGTGACCACTAGTCCGGCCAGGCTATGCCTTCTATTGCCTCAGAAGTTGCTGATTGTCTGGAGGACGGGGCGGCGGGGGGAGGCTACGTCTATGATTGTGTAGAGATAGAGAAATGTGATTTCTAGGGCTAGAATTCAGAGCTAAATTCAATCGGAGTCATAAGGACCCTCAATTTCAGTAGTAGTGAACACTTCTGAAACCACTCCATATGAAATCTGGAATGGAAAAAATGAGTTCAGTCCATGGCAGATGGTGGGACCCAGTCTTCTCCCCATCCGAGTGGGAAGTTCCCAATAAGCAAAGGAGGAGGTTACTGTGCCCCCGTGACAATGGATTGGGTTGGAGATAGCGGTATAAACTCATCTTTAGCTTAATATAGACAGTTCCTTATGGAAATCTTTATAATTAGGTATGTGTACACAGGTTGAAATACACATCTATATTCCCTTGCATGATCAGCTGAGCACACTTGGCTCCAGGTGTAAGTTTTTAACATTTCTGAAGAAATGGCCAATACTAGAGCTGACACAGTGAATACCGGAGCCATGATAATCTTGAAGTATCAGAAAGTAAGGAAGTACCAAAAAAATCCCACAAAGACAAAATGGAAAACCAGGAGCCAATGGAAAGAGCTCTCGCTGGCCAAAGCAGGAGCAAGCCGAGCAACAAAACCTTGTAGTGCTGGGTTGTGGCTGAGACATCCAGGTGTCCGCACCAGTAAAAATCAATTACTACGTGATTCTAATGAGATTGGATAGAAATATCTGTGCAGAAGAATCCCAAATCATTGATACAGATACTCGGCCATCCATCAGGAAGAAATGAGCTAACTCCCCTCCCTGAACTGCGGGCTTGGCATAGTGACTTCCTCCCACAGAAGACACCCAAGGGGACAAGGGGACGTCACGGTGGGGAACCTGGCACACCACCTCGGCCAGGTGACCCAAGTTATCACTGACTTTGGGATAAGTTGCCTGGAGACCATGGTCTACTTTCATATAAAATAATAAGAAAGCACTTTATCTCTGTGATCTGCTTCCTCAAAACCCATAACCATGGTCTCCTCATGACCCAAGTAAATTCCAAGGCGAGACGTTCTACAAAATACCCAGCCAGTCGCCCTCCACACTGACGGTCATCGAAGCGAGGCAAGTCCGAGGAACTGCCAAAGCCAAGGGGAGCCCAAAGAGATGTACACAGCTAAATGTCCCGTGGTGCCCTGGACAGCAACAGAAAAAGGTAGAATGGAGGAAACCCCGTGGACTTCAGTTAATAATAATGCATCAATATTTGTGCATTAATTGTGACAATTCTGTAGAAACCTAAAAAGAGAAGAAATTAAAAGTCAAATAAGAGAAACCTATTACATCAAACTGGAAACCTAGAAGAAATAGGTGATTTACTAGTAAAAATACACATTAACAAATTTTTTTAAATATACATTATTGAACCCTAAAATAAGGAAATTATACACAGAACAATTGGCATACAAAAACTTAGAATTGTCCTGGCTGGTACGGATCAGTGGATTGAGCATGGGCTGTGAACCAAAGGGTCACCGGTTTGATTCCCAGTCAGGGCACATGCCTAGGTTACAAGTCAGGTCCCCAGTCGGGGGTGTGCAAGAGGCAACCACACACTGTTTCTCTCCCTCTTTCCTTCCCTTCCCCTCTCTCTGAAAATAAATAAAATATTTTTTTTAAAAAAAGCTCAAAATTGTGCTTAGAAATCTCCCGTTGGAAAAGACCCCAGGACCATTTGGGTTCACACTTAACAGCCAAGTGTTAAGTGACCTTTAACAAGCTCTAAACTTTTTAATTTTATTTTTTTATAAAATGTTCCCAGTAGGCTGAATGCTAGCAATATAGCAGGAAAAAAACCTAGTGGGAAAATGTATTATGGTCATGTCCACAATGAGTTCTAATTTAATATCAAATTTTTATATATCTGTTTCATCTGTTATAGGATATCAATGTTCACAAAACAGAAATTATTTTGTGTACCATTACAAATATGCTACCAATTAAGCTGTTACTTTATTAACACAGGACAAAATTTTGGTGCCCTGGCTGGTGTGGCTCAGTGCATTGAGTGCAGGCCTGAAAACCGAAGGGTCACCAGTTTAATCCCCAGTCAGGGCACATGCCTGGGTTACAAGTCAGGTCCCCAGTAGGGGACACATGAGAGGCAACCACACATTGAGGTTTCTCTCCCTTTCTTGCTCCCTCCCTTCCCCTCTCTAAAATGAATAAATAAAATCTTTAAAAAAACAAAAAACTAGAAAGGTAAATTTTTAGTAAATTCTGGTTTTGGAATCAATAATAGGTTTAGCCCTGACTCAGTTGGTTGCACAACCTCCCTCAAAGCGAAAGCTGGCAGATTCGCCTCTGTCCAGGGCACGGGCCTGGGTTCTGTCCCAGACTGGGGTGCTCGGAGGCAGCTGATCATGGATGATGGATGTTTCCCTCCCTCTCTCTAAAAGCAAATAAAATCTTTTTTAAATAAATAAATAATACATTTAGACTTAATGTTTCAGGTTTTAGTCCACCCACTTCTGGTTGTCAGTATATTTTTTTTTTCAGCTGCATTTGCGCCTTAACAAAAAAGGGCCCTCGCAATTCTTCCGAGAGCAATACAAGTGCGCCAGGCACCAGCCCAGTGGTCTCAGCGTTTCCTCTCCTCTCCGCGGGGACTTCTCCCCGGAAACAACCGAAATCTGTAAGAAATACTACAGCATGCCATAGTGATGAGGGGTCAAAGCCTTGATGAAGGGACGCTTGTGTAAAATATGTGCTATTGAAATACTGCGGTAGCAGGAGAGCTGCTTAAACAAGCCCAGACAAGTCAGAAGGACCCGGTCCGTTTGCTGAGCCACTAAGTAAAGCAGGGGTGAGCAACTAAGTAACTAAGAAGTAAAAACCAAAGAACATTGTATGGCCCTATCAGCAGCCCTGCTCTCAGCAGCCCTGCTTTCTTGCTTTTGTAAACCTGCTTCTACTACGTAGGCTTAGTAAAATCGCTTCCACATGCGACACTATGAAAACAAGCCCCTGCCCGAGCTCAGGACCCAGAATTTGGAGATTACCCCCCCTGAGTCTGCATGTGTAAATAAAGTTCCACTCCGTACACCCAAAAGCGGCTGAGTTGTTTTCTGTAACACTGCTACGTGGGAAAGTGAAAAGAAAACACAGGAGAAAGTACAGAAAAGAGGGTTGTGTGCTCGCTCCAAAAGACAGGCGGCCACAGGAAAAGCACAGCAAATCTCCCTGCTGCGCACCGGGGCCTGCGGGTGGGAGCCATCTCCGTGCTGCGCCCTTGGGCAGCTCCCTGCGGAGCACCTCCTCCGGTCCAACTCTCCCCTCACCTGGACTTTGCCCCCCGCCCCCAGGCTCAGAATTGGCGGGGGTGGGGGTTGGACACCCCCTGCTGTCCGCTGGAGCGCAGCGCAGGACACCGCACGTTCACAGTGTAGTGGTGGCCAGTTTGTCCCCTTAGGTCAGTGGGCCAGTGAATCTCTGAAATTCGGTGTTCTGATTATTCAGTGCCATAATTTGAAAATCCCAGCTGAAATATAGCTTACCATTCCCACACGGTGATTGAGAAGTAAAGCGATAACAAAAAGCAAAGTATAAGGTCAATATAAAGTCAATCGATTTTTCTTTCAAACAGCGCTGTAGTCGGAATGTTTACGTTCCCCTAAAATTCCCATGTTGGAATCCCAGTGCTCAGGGTGATGTTGCTATTAGAAGGCAGGGACTTTGGGAGGTGTTTAGACCCCGAGGGTGGGGTCCTTACTAGTGGAGCCAGTCCCCCTATGAGAGAACCCGGACCTTTCCTCCCTGTGAGGACCAGGGAGAAGTCTGGCCCCGGAAAGAAGGCCCTTAACTTAACTGTGTGGGCAGGGTGATCTCCGACGTCCAGCCCACAGATCTGTGCGAAACCAATTTCTATATTATAGCAGCCCAGGTGGATTAAGCCACTCAGCAATGATGTAGAGAGAAAAAAGGAATTGGAAATGAAAAAAAAATTTACAATAGCACTTCAAAAATTGAAGTCCTAAGCCCTTGCTGGTGTAGCTCAGTGGTGATTGAGCGCGAGCCTGGGAACCAGACAATCGTGGTTTGATTCCCAGTCAGGGCACATGCCTGGGTTGCAGGCCAGTTCCCAGCAGGGGACGCACAAAAGGCAACCATACATTGATATTTCTCTCCCTGTCTCCTTCCCTTCCCCTCTAAAGATAAATAAATAAAATCTTTAAAAAAAAAAAAGCCCTTCAGTGACTGGTCACGGATGGATTGAGTGCCGGCCAGCAAACCAAAGGGTCACCAAAGGGTCACCGGTTCAATTCCCCGTCAGGGCACAGGTCTGGGCTGTGGGCCAGGTCCCCGACAAGGGGCATATGTGAGGTAACCACACATTGGTGTTTCTCTCCCTCTCTTTTCCTCTCCCTTCCCCTCCCTAAAATAAATAAAATCTTTTTTAAAGTATGTATTCAGAAAACATTGAAACATAATTAAGAGAAATCAAATAAAATATAAATGAATACAAAAGATATTCCTTGTTTAGTAGCAGTACATTCAATAGTGTTAAAATGAAAATTCCTTCTAAGTTGATCTATATATTCAGTGGAATCCCAATCAAACTGCCAGGTTAAAAAAATTACAAACTGGCCCTGGCTGGTGTAGCTCAGTGGATTGAGCACAGGCCTGTGAAGCGAAGGATTGCTGGTTCAATTCCCAGTCAGGGCACATTCCTGGGTTGCAGGCCAGGTCCTCAGTGGAGGCCGTGTGAGAGGCAACCACACATGGATGTTTCTCTCCCTCTCTTTCTCCTTCCCTTCCCCTCTCTCTAAAAATAAATAAATAAAATATTTTTTAAAAATTACAAACTGTTTCTAAACCTAGACTACACAGCATAAGACTGATGATAAAATTGAAGAACGAACACATCTGGATCCAACCATTCATCACAAAGTTACACTGAGGTAGAGTGTGCGACATTGGTGACGAATACACAGATGGAGCAGAAGGGGAAACACAAAAACAGACCCTGTAAATGTAGTCCAGTAACTCATCAAAGGCACAAAGGCAAGTCATCGGAGGAAGTCTGCGCCACAAACAGTGGTGCAACAAATGGAGATCATCCGGAAAAGAAGAATGTCGACACAAACTTTGCAACTTGCATAAGAATTCTTGGAAAATAGCCCTGGTTGGTGTGGCTCAGTGGATTAAGCATCAGCCTGCGAACCAAGGGGTCGCTGGTTCGATTCCCAGTCAGGGCACATGCCTGGGTTGCAGGCCAGGTCCCCAGTAGGAGGCGTGTAAGCAACAAGTACACACTGATATCTCTCTCCCTCTCTTTCTCCCACCCTTCCTCCCTCCTCTCTGTCTAAAAATAAATACGTAAAATCTTTAAAAATAATAAAATTTTTTAAATGTTTAAAAGAGAAATAAGAACAAACACCAGTAAAAATGAATGGAAAATAGAAAGCTTCAAGCAAAACCAAAAAAAAAATTGTTTAAGAATTAACTGAAAATAATTCATAGATATAAATGCAAAAATGTAAACATAAAATCTACAGCCAGTCAATAAAAGAAAATAATTGCTGATGTTGACTTTCTTAAAATTTTAAATGTCTATTTTGTGAAAGACTCTACTAAGAGAACAAAAAGACAAGTCGCAAACTGGGGTAAAAATATTTGGGAGACACAGCTGAAGGACGACTTCTATGCACAATACACAAAGAAACTCCCAAACTCCCCATGACAGCCCGGGCTGGCGCAGCTCAGCTGGCTGGGCATCGTCATGCCTGGGTTGGGGGTCCGGTCACTCCGATGGTTCTCTCCCTCTCTTCCTCCCCGCTTCCCTTCTCTCTAGAATCAATAAAAGAAAAAAAAGCTTCACAAGACAAACAACCCAATGAAAAATGGGTAAAGATCTGAGCAAACACTTCACCAAATAAAATATACAAATGACAAATAAAAGAGAATAGAGAGCCCAGAAATACACCCGAGTCTCTGTAGTCGACTAATATTTGACAAAGGGGGAAGAAGCATAAAATGAAGTAAAAAGTATCCTCTTCAACAAACGGTGTTGGGAGATCTGGACAGCTAGATGCAAAAATATGAAACTTGATCACCAACTTAACACTATACATGAAAATAAGTTCAAGGTGGATAAAAGACTTAAATATAAGTCTAACATGAAACCATAAAAGTCCTAGAGGAAAACATTGGCAGGAAAATCTCAGACATTCCATGCAGTAAGATCTTTATTGATATGTCCCCTAAAGCAAGGGACATAAAGGAAAGAATAACAAATGGGATCTCATCAAATTAAAAAGCTTCTGCATGGCTGAAGAAAACAGCATTAAAATGAAAAGAGAACCAACTATATGGGAAAACATATTTGCCAATGATACCTCGGACAAGGGTTTGATCTCCAAAACATATAAAGAACTCACAAGACTCCACTCCAGGAAGACAAAAAAAAACCAACAATTAAAAAATCGGCAAAAGACTTGAACAGACTCTTCTCCAAGGAGGACATACAGAGGGCCTCATGACATATGAAAAGATGCTCAGTATCACTAGCCATCAGAGAGATGCAGATTAAAACCACAATGAGATTAACACTTCACACCAGTGAGGACGGCATCATAAACAAATCAAAGAAATGTTGGAGAGGTCATGGAGAAAAGGGAATCCAAGGGCACTGTTGCTGGGAATGCAGACTGGTGCAACCATTGGAGGACTGTATGGAATTTCCTCAGAAAACTAAAAATGGACCTGCCTTTTGACCCAGCAATTCCACTGCTGGGATTATATCCTAAGAACCCTGAAACACCAATCCAAAAGAACCTATGCACCCCAATGTTCATAGCAGCACAATTTACAATAGCCAAGTGCTGGAAGCAACCTAAGTAAATGAGTGGATCAGTAAATGAGTGGATCAAAAAACTATGGAATGTTTACACAATGGAACACTACCCAGCAGAAAGAAAGAAGGAGCTCCTACCCTTTGTGACAGTGTGGATGGAACTGGAGAGCATTATGCTAAGTGAAATAAGCCAGGTGGTGATGGACAAATACCATATGATTTCACCTCTAACTGGAACATAATCAACAAAAGAAAAAAGCAAACAAAATATAGCCAGGGACATTGAAATTAAGAACAATCTAACAATAGCCAGAGGGGAGAGGGAAATGGGGGAGGGAGGTGGGTTTGGAGGGGCTGGGGGGGGGAGGGGGGGAGGAAATGAAGACAACTGTAATTGAACAACAATAAAATAATTGATCTATATATACACAAATGACAAATAAGCATACAAAATAATGCTCAACATCGCTTATCATAAGGGGAAAGCCCACTCACACAAAAACGCAATAGCAGTACATTTCCATTAAGGTGGCTACGTTTTAGAAGGAGGAGGAGGAGGAGAAACAACAGCAAGAAGGGCTTTCGTTCACTGCTGGTGGAAGGCACCATGGTGGGGCCGCTCGGGAACACTGTGCGCCAGAGTTTTCCAAAGCTGAACGTGGTCTCGTCATAAGCCGACAATCGCATACCTAGGTGTTTGGACAACTGCCCTGCAAACCTGTGTCCAAGAAAAAACTCCCATGCAATATGTACAGCACCTCTCTTCACACTAGTGAAATACTTCAAAGATCAGGATATCCTTCAATAAGTGAATAAATAACCAAGTGTTCAATGGAATACTTTTTTTAAAAAGGAACAGCCCTGTCTGGGTAGCTCAGTTGGTTGGAGCATTATCCCCTGCACCAAAAGTCTGGGAGTTCGATTCCCAGTCAGGGCATATACCCAGGTTGCAAGTTCAATCCCTATTCGGCGAACATACAGGAGGCAACCGATCGATGTTTCTCTCTTCCCCTTCCTCTCTCTCTCTCTCTCTCTCTAAAATCAATAAAAAACATATCCTCAGGTGAGGATTAAAAAAATTTTAAAGGAATGACCTATTAAGCCATGCAAAGGTATAGCTGAAACTCACATGTATATCGCTAAGTAGAAGAGGCCACTGCGAATAGACCACACACTGTACCTAAGATCCCACGTGTATGACATTACGGAAAAATAAAAATTACTGAGACGGTAATTTTCTGGAGAGTGGTTGCGGGGTGAGTTGGAGAGGGAAACAAGGCGCAGGCGAGGGCGGGCCCCGGGCTGGTGAGAGCATGCTGGGCGCCCGTGAGAAGCTTAGGGTCTGCAGTGCCGCAGGAACAGGAGGCCACTTCATACTCTACAAGACGAGGGCCTCCTCCCATCCCACGTGAGCAACTTCAGGACCCGTTCTGGAGGAGCATTCTTGCGTGTGGTACATGTACAATATTATACATGTACCATAAATACGCATTATGAAATTTATCACCTGAACCGTTTTAAGTGTGAAGCTCAGGGGCACTAAGTCTATCCACATGTGTGCAGCCGCCACCGCCATCATTTCTCATTCCCGCCGTCGGTGCACGAGAGTCCCGGCGTCTGCGCGTTCTCGCGAACCCAATCCACGGCGGCCTTCGTGATGGTAGCCGCCCTCATGGGGCGTGCCGTGGTATCTCGCTGTGGTTTTGATTTCGTTTCCCTAAAGACCAGTGATATTGAGCATCTTTTCATGCGTTTATTGGGACTGGGTTTGGCAATGATTTCTTGGGCATGACCCCCAGATCACAGGGAATAAGAGAAAAATTAAATAAATTGAACTTTTTTAAACTTTTCGAAATTTAAAACTTGTGGATCAAAGGATGCTATCAAGAAAGTAAAAAGATAAACTGAGGATGACAGAAGATGTTTGCAAGTTACGTACCTGAAAAGGGTTGAGTTCCCGGAATATATAAAGAACTCTTGCAACTCAATAGCGAAAGGAGAAACAGCCCGATTCTTACATGGACGAAGGGCTCGAATAGACTTTTTTTCAAAAAAGATGCATGAACAGCTCATGGAAAGGTGCTCAAGATCACTAGCCATCGGGGAAGCGCACACAAAATCACAGCCAGGTACCACTTCATAACTGTGAGAATGGAAGCTGTCAAAAGGGAGGCGCACAGCGAAGAGGGTGCGGAGAAAATGGGACCCAGCACATGAATGACGCAAACATGAAACGTTGTAGCCACTGTGGAAAATAGTTTGGCAGTGCCTCAAAATACTAAACAGAATGACCATGTGTTCCAGCTATTCCACTCCTAGGGATGTACACAAAAGAATTGAAAACAGGTATTTGAACAGAGACTTGTACACGAATGTTAACAGCAGCACTGTTCACTGTCGTGAAAATGTGGAAACAGTCCAGATGTCCATCAACAGATAAATGATCAACGCGATGTGGTGCATCCATGCAGCGCATATTATGGGGGGGGAGAGTTTATCCTGGTATTATTGCTTATTAATTATTGTATTATTCTCTCTATGAATATCTGTAAACCTCCTTTTGCCCTACCCTGTATTCAGCCACAAAAAGGAGCAAGGTACCAAAACTTCGACGTGGGAAAATCCCAAAAATCTTATACTAGAAGAAAGAGGCTGAACGCAAACGTCACATATTATGTTTCCATTTATACGGCACAACCAGAATAGGGACTGAGAGGAGGTCAGAGGTTGTCAGAGGGCGGACGGGATGGGAGCGGCTGCTTGTCGTTCAGGGAATTCCCTTTTGGGAGTGATGGGCATTTTTTGAACTTGATCAAGGTGATGGTTGTACAAATATTATACATGTACTAAATGCCACTGAATTGCAACTTTAAAACAGTTGATTTTGCCCTGGCTGGTGGCTTCACTGTCTGCTGCAACATCCCTCACACCAAAAGGAGGTGGGTTTGATTCCCGTTCAGGGCGGACACCTATGTTCGATGCATTCGGGAGGCACCTGATCGGTGTCCCCCCCCCTCTCTAAAGTCAACAAAGACATCCTTGGGTGAGAATTTTTAAAAAACAGTTGGTTTTTATATAATGCGAATTTTACCTCATTGAAAAACAAAGAATAAAGAAACCACCCCAAGGCGTTCTGCTCCCCTCACTGCACCCTCAGCCTGGCATTCGGGGCCCACCACTCCCCCAGGTCCACCTGCCGCCAGGGGGCTGACCAACCACACTGTGGACACTTGGGCTACAGCCACGCTGTCCACTCAACTCCTCAACTCACGAGCAGTGCCACAGTCCCCTCCCCAGGCCACCTTCTCAGTGACTCCTTCCCAGACGTCCCACAGTCACTGCCCTCCTCAGGCTCACGGGGCCTCCGAGCTGTCCCCAGCCGTGCAGTAGACCTCGGCCGGGGCTTCCGAGGGCTGTCTCCCCGCAGTGAGGGAAATGAGTGTCTGCTGAGCCCCACAGTGTGCGGGCATCTTGCTCAGGTGAACTCACGGCAACTCTGCGAAGCGTCGTGAGCCTGCTGGACCCAAGCGGCCGGGGAGACTCGGCTGCAGTCGGGCACACGGCCTCCGCCTGGCTGTGCGCTCAAGTTCCAGCCCTGAGTCGTCAGCTCTCCAGAGAAACCGCGCGAATCACATGGACACTGTCCACAGCTGTGGGGGTCACTGGCTAAGCACGTAGGTGGCTCAGGTCCCATGTGAAGCTGCACAAGCCATGCAGATGCTGTTACAAATACACCCGCCTGGGGCTCTCCAGGGGTCAGCCCAGGAAGTGTGTTCGCCATAGTATTTTTATACTCGGTCAGAGCTAAGGGTGCCTGCCCCTCACTTCCGCCCACACCCCTCCTGCTCTCTGGATACTAAAGATACTTCTGGGTCCCGATTCGCCCCTGCTGACCAGAATCCGGCTCCGCCGAGGCTCCCCACAAGTCCTCGGAAGCTCTGCAGGCCCACAGCGGGGAGGGGGTGCTGTCTGAGCCAGAAGGGGCCTTTTCCTCTGGGAGTTAGGGCTGTGGGTGTTTTTTTCTGCCCAGGCCACAGGAGACACTGGACAGACAGATACTCAGCACCCAGAGAGAGACAGGCCTCCCCTGTACCCTAGTTTCAAAGCTTTAGCACCTTCAGCTCCATTAGAGTTTCGTCCCAGCCCTCACCTGGCAGGTGGTCCCAGCACCCATCCCAAGCCCAGCAGCCGGCGGGAACAGGGCCTTCTTCCTCGGGCACGCAGTCGGGGTGACGGGGGTGCCCCAGGAGGGTCCACGGGGCCTGAGCCAGCGGGGGTGGAGATCGCCGACAGAGGCAGAGATGCTGTCACAGGTTGAGTTGTGGTCCCGGAAAATTCACACGTTCCAGTGCTCATCTCCAGGGCCTGTGAGCGTGGCCTGCTATGGAAGCAGGGTCCTTCAGATGGCAAGTCAAGATGAAGTCCTTTGGATCAGCCCCAAACCGCTGTGACCGTGTCGCTGTAAAAGGGGGACTTCGGATGGACAAACCCCCACAAGGAAAACGCTTTGTGAAGACTGGTACGAGGCTGTCCCCAGCCAAGAAGCTCCCAGAAGCCGAGCGAGCCCTGAAACAGGCCTTCCCAGCGCGTCTCCCCAGCCTGCCCGCGCCTAGACTTCAGACTTGACCTTCCGGAACCGAGAGACAACAAATTCCTGCTGTTCTAAGCTGCCGAGTTCGTGGCGCTCCGCTGTGGCAGGCCTTGGGGACCGATACAGGCATCCTCGGCTCTACCCACCACTTCTCCGCAGGTGTGGGGGTCAGAGGCACGGCCCTGCACAGGCCAAGGCCACTCTGGGTGGCCATTTCCAGCCTGGCTTTGGCCACAGCTCTCAGCCTCACGGGGCCCACAGTGGGATGAGGACGAGGAAGGGCAGGAGTCGGCCTCAGACGGAGCAGGTCACTGAGCCTCCACTTCGCTGTTCCTAGAGCGCAGAAAGCCCGGGAATGGCCACAGCCCACGTCCCTACCCTCTTCTGGGCCCCTCCCAGCTACCAGCAGCTTGGAACAGCTACTAAATGCCTTCAATCTCGGTGCAGGAGAAGCCTCAGGAAGGCACGAAACGGGGATACTCAGCCTGGTCACAGCATCTCGCCTGTGTCCTCTGGGCCCAGGCAGGCCCTGTAGGGGGTGAGGGCAGAGCAGGCTGTGGAGAGCAGCCCCCTTCTCAGAGGAGCCTGGGGTCAAAGCAGGGAGGGAAGTGGTGGGGTTGGGGGCGGCTGGTGGGCAGGATGCTGAGCATAGAGGCCCTTCCCCAGCGTTAGGCAGGAAGGAGGGAGAAGGGGCCCTGCCTCCGTCCAGACAGCGTGTCTGGCCACTGCCTAAGCAGCCCTCTGCAGGAGGGTCGGCTCCAGAGACTTCGGTCCATTTTCCCCAAAGTGGACCTGATGCAGCTGGCGAGTCAGAGCTTCAGAACTTTAGGGCCGAGCCTACTGTCTGCCAAGGATAGGAGGATGGGAACACCCGCAGGTCCCTATGCAGCCTCTTCACCGGGGTCTTGCCTCTGATGGTGACCAGCTCCCACATGGCTGCCTCCTTGCCTGGCATCCAGGCTCTGCGGGTCACAGGGAAGATCACAGGCCAAGGGCTGGATGGGTCCAGAGCTCTGTGTGATTCCCGGGAAAGGTGAAGGGTGGCCTACCCCGTAACAGCCCAGGGCACAGTAGTCAGCACTGCTGCCCTCTGACTGTGGCGGAGCTGGCCTGCTGGGGCTCAGAGCGACCCATTCCTCCTGGGGCAGGTAGGCAGGCGGCTGCCCTCCCCACTCCAGGGCCACTGGCAACACATCCGCTGGGAGGCCAGTGCCAGTGCTCTCGTCTTCCAGGCCCACAAAGGGCCAGGGATCCACCGGGTCGTAGGTGAGCAACGCAATGGCGTCTCGGACACTGGGCTCCGAGGCTCCTGCTGCAGCCCCACCAAGGTCCTGGCTCAGCCGCATGCCAGCTCTGCGAGTGCCCGTCCAGGTCTGGAACGGAGCGAGGGGGACAGATCAGCGGCCGGCTCGGGACGCACCCTGGGGGCAGCCGGCCACTTCCAGGAAGCTCTCCTCATACCCATGCCCAGAGACCACTTGACACCTGTGCCCGGAGCATTCTCTTGTCCGCCCGTGGGCCAGCCCAGCCTCCGCATGAAATCCAAGTCCCTTCAGGCCCCTCAGCCTCCCAGCACAGGGCCTGGAGCTGACGGCAGCCTGAGACTGGTGCAGATGGGGACAGGCACCGAGGACCGACAAAACCTCGGACCGCCGCGCAGGCGCTTCCAACAGCTACAGAGCCCGCCCCGACCCCGTTCACATCCGCACACGCACACTCACACTAAAGACGGGACAGGCTACCCGGGGCTGGCGCCTCTGGGTCAAGGCCGGCTGACCCGGACCCTCCGTGGGGCCTCCTGGAGGACGCTGTTCCCTGGTGGGACCAGAGTCCCCACCACATGCACCACACACACCACATCCTCCGCCACTGCCAGCAGACACACACGGCTGGAAACAATCAAAGTCTTTGTCCCTCTCAGACTTTGTCACAACTGCCTCAGGGCTCTTGTCACAGCCACTGCCTTAGGGAAAGGGGTGGACTCCACCAAGGACAAAGCGCTAGGCTTTAAGCTTCGGATGATACTTTTGGGCAGCAAGCTTGAAAACTAGGCCCCTGCTGAGAGGGCAAAGTGCTGGGCCGCGGGAGCCTTGCGACATCAGGAGTGGAAGCACTGGGAAGGGCCGTCTGGGGACCCCGGGGAGCACTGCCTCCTGTCCCTTGTCCCTTGCCCAGAGGGAGGGGTCTGAGAGGGTGAAACCAGACACCACCCAAGGGAGCACCTCCTCCCTGCCTGTCCTCCTGCCAGGGGAGCAAGAGCTTCCAGGCCAGCAAGGAGGGGACAGTGAGCACAGAGGATCAGGTGCAGCCCCCCCCGCCCGGGTTGTTCTCAGCTCCCCTTCCCCATGGGGTCCACCGGAGCCCGGCCAAGGGGGAAACGCAGAGTCTGCTCGTTGGGCACAGTAGCAGCGTGCCACCCAGGGCGACCGGGAAGAGCTGGGCACTCCCCGGGGGCCACCAGAGCAGCAGACCAGGCACCGTGAGGGCCCCAGGGCAGCTCGAGCACTGGAGAGCCCCCCCACAGCCAGCATACAGATGCCGTGGGAGAGGAAGGAGGGACGAGCCGCGGCAGGTGCAGGCGGCCCTGCCATTTGCTCCCTGAACTGACCGTTTACCTCACACGGGCTGCTGCACACCGGAAGAGACAGATAATGTCATAAGAAAGTTTGCATTTTTTTTTCCTACCAACAATGGAATTAGAGACGAGAACAAAAGGAAATGAACAACAGAACACAAAGTGAGTTTTCTGGCCCACGTGAGGCTCGGTGTATAAATTTAAACCCACTATACGTACCAAAAAAGCTCAAAGCACTGAGAAAGGTCCCCGAACTCACCCCAGCCCTCGCCCAGAGCCCACATCCTGAGCAGGCCAGATATCTGGGCAACCCTGCCCTGCCCCCAGCCCCCCTCCCCGGAGCCGCCAGGGCACGCACCTGGAAGTTCCCGTTGTGCACGCTGTACAGAGGCTGGAAGAACGCCACTGGGGAGGGCACGTTCTGGTAGAAGGTCCTCTTCACCCTGAGCCCGGAGAGGACAGTCAGCCTCCTGGTAGGCGCTCCTGCAGGGACCCATCTCCGGGAAGCATGAGGTCCCTGGGGAATTCGACGCCCTTCCAACAGGCAGGCGACCAGCTCTGCCGCACCCCTGCTGCGGCCATGCGCTCCTGCCTCACCAGGGCCACGCCGCCGCCGCTCAGGGGAAGACCCAGCGCCTGGAACCCTGTGGCCTCCCTGGCTGATGGTCGCATGGAACCGACTGACACCGAGACATGTGTCCTTTGCAGGGTGAGCTGGATGGTGAGATCGGGGCCAAGAACCAGCCGCGATCTCAGCTCACAGGGGGAGCCGACACCTCCAGGAACCCCAGCCGTGTCCTTTGCAGGCAGGTGGCAGCCCCCTTTCCTACCGCACTTCTCCCTGAGCACCAGACCCACCTCCCGGCCCGCCGGTCCTCCCACGAGGAAGTGGCACCGGGCTCCAACCCAACGCACCAGAACTGACTTTCCCGACCTCCCTTGGGGCCCGGAGCGGCCAGTTCCCCACCTCAGGGGTGACATTAGGGGTCGCCAGTAAGGGGCGTCTCCTGTGCCCACACACCCCCTTGGTTTCTCTTCCTGAAAAACTCCCTCCACTTTGCTCTCTGTCTTTACTTCTTTCACCGGCTCCGGCCAAACTGCCTCTCTCTGGACACCACCACTGGCCTCTCCGCAGATCCACCCAGCCCTCTGTACCTCCACGACCCATTTTCTAAACATAAACCACATCACGTCGCACACCATTCAACACACTTTAGGTGCTTTCCTTTGCTCCAAGGGCAAGCCTGCACCCTCTTCTAGCCTCTCGGCCCTGCCCACCGCCCTCGGCCTTGTCACACGCCCACCCCAGTGCTCCCTTCATCTGACCTTCTCTCATCTTCTCTGCCACGTGTCCACACCTGGCCAGTGTCCTCAGGCCCCCGTCCTCGACGAGGCCCTTACCCTTCTCATAACCTGGCATGTGTGATGGCTTATTTCAGAAGGGCCCTGTGTCCTCCAGTTTCTCTGAGGCACCACCGTAGCCGAGAGCAGGGCCCTGTGCACCCCGGATGCCGAAAACTGTGCCTTCGTAGGACATGCTAACACTTGAGCAAACCACGGAACACCTCTAGGGGCAACTTGGTCCCCATGACTTTGGGTTCCTCCCCAGTTCTTTTGGGTCACACTGCCCCACACACACACACCAGGTATTTGGAAGCTCCACACTGGTCCAAGGCAGAGGCTTAAAAACCGCGCCCCATCCAGGACCCAGCGATGAGGGGGGGAAGGAGCACAGGGGGACCGGTGCGGGTCCGGTCCTTGGTGCCCTGCTCACCACACTGACACGCACACACACAGCCGCACGCACACCCTTCGGTTACCAACCTGGGTGACAGCTTAAACAGGACATAGGTGAGGCTGGTCAGCAGGAGAAAGACGGACACAGCAACCAGGGTGCTGTTGGGCTGCCCGGCAGGCGTGATCAGGGGGCCTGTGGACAGGAAGGGCCCGGAGCTGAGAGCGGCCCTGGCACCAGGGTGTTCCTTCAAACCCACACGGCAGAGACGCCCCGGGGCCACGTGGAAGGTTTGTCGTGAGCCTTGGAGGTTTTCGGCACGCCCGCTGAAGCACCTTTGGTGACGCACACATCCCCTGGCCTCCCCACTCCGCATCTGCAAGGCCTTCAGGGGCAGCGGACCTTCCAGCGCCCGTGCCCGAGGGCCAGCCAGCCCCCTGAGGCCTTGCTGTGCAGGCCTGGGCTGCACCCGCTCCCCGTCAGAACCCCCGGCTCAGGCTCCTGGGAAGCTCCAGCTTGGCAGGTGTCTGTTTCTGCCTTACACACCTCGGCCCTCCAGGGCAGGGTGGTCCACTGGCACGGAACTGCCTCTGGGTGGGTCCCAGGAAGTAAAAGGGTGGGGCGGGGGGATGCGAGGAACCAAGAAGGGAGGCCCAACCAGACGCTCAGGGTGGCGGCCACAAGCACCCACTTTGCCGCTGAGGGGAGGTGAAGAACACAGGCTGGCTCCACTCGCTCCAGGGGCCCTCGTAGCGCTCCTCCTCGGCCACCGTGCCCTCCGGGGTGGCCATGTGGACGCGCAGCCTCGCCTCATAGACGCAGCCAGGGTCCAGCTCCACGGCTTCGAGGATGAGCGAGGTCACCCCCAGGATGCGGTCCTTCCGCCGAGCCCGCTGCGAGTTGAAGACAGCCGCCGCTGAGAGGGAGGCGGGGTCTGTCGGCCCTCGAGAACACACACACAGGCACACTCGCCACACTCACACTCACACAGCCATATCCACAGGGCACACTTTCACATGGGCACACATGCACATCCAATGGCACATATACTCATCTACTGCATGCACACTCACACACACACTCATGTGCTCACTGTTCTCGCACACATCGGCACACCCTATGAGAACTCACATATATAAATACACACACTTATGCACACACAGGCACACTCACACATACGCACCTGTGTGTGCACATATCAAACACACGTACACACTTGCACACACACACTCTTGGCTCTGGTCGCCCCCCTTCTCCCAGTTCCAAGCCAGCACCTCCCTGTGTGGGGTGAGGAGCGGCCCTGCACCACTGCTCCCGGGAGGGAGGCAGAGAGGGGCCTCGGCAGCCAGCCCAAGCGTTACCTCCCAAGCCTCTTCCTGCCTCTTGAAGGCCAGCTCGTAGCTGAACAGTGGGGCCAGCGGCTTCAAGACAGGGCTGATGCTCCAGGCCAGGACACAGGAGCCGGAGCTGACATTGCTCTGCAAGTCAGAGGGAGGGTCCAGCTTCACTGAAATGGAATGAGGCCGCGTGAGGGCGTGTCTGTCAGCGCGCCCAGGGCTGGGGTGCTGACTGGCTACTGCGAGGCCATGGTCAAGGCCCTCGCAGGCAAGGGGCCTTGCCGGGAGGCTGGACCAGAGAAGCCCCAGGTAAGACAGGACAGCAATGACCTCTTCCAGCCCCTGCAGCCGGACAAGGTGATTCTCAAAGTTTGCCTTCCCTTTCCTTCATAAGCTGCTGTTGGAGGCCCTTCCCCAAGTCCCATGGGGCTCCTTCCTGCTGTGACGGAAGGACATGTCGAGTGACTCAAGCTGCAGTCTAGGCCCCAACTCGAAGCCCTGTACCTTCGCCATCCTTTAAAACCCAATCCCGACAGCAGCCAGCGGGCCGCCCCCTGCACCCCAGGCCCAGCCCGATCCCAGCCTGGACCTCCCCTGGCAGGGACGGAGTGTGCACCAGGCATGGGGGTCACGGGCTGCGGGGCCCTGCCCCCAACACGCAGGCAGCCAGGGTGTTTCCCCACCGAGGTGCCCCACCCCAGGCCTCACCGTGTCTCCGGGGCAGGTACTGGGGGTCCACCAGGCTGACCTGCTCCTTCCCAGAGATGTGACGGTGCAGAGTGATGGTAAAGTTGTCAGAGGGCACAAGAATCTCCTCGGGTGGTAGCACCAGGGTGCACGCATTGGCCCTGAAGACACACCTGTGCCTGCTGCCCGGCTGGTGGTTGCTAGGAAGGGCTCTGTATCACCACCAGGAAGCTGCTGCACCAGCCCAGCCCCGCTGCTGCTATCTCGGGGACCCTGTCCCTACTCCTGCCCTCTGCCCAGGCGGGTCTGGCCCTCCAGCCTCACCTGGTGAAGAGCAGCCAGGGTCTGGGGTCCCCGCCCAGCTCTGGGGCAGACCAGTGGCAGTCAATCCTGAGGATGTTGTTGGTGAGGCAGGTGAAACTTCCAGGCCCGAGCCCTGGGAACAGTGACCATTGGGAGCCCACAGCGGCTGTGTCAGGGCAGAGCTGGGGGGGGGGGCCTGGAAGCTGACACCCTAACAGGGCAGTCCCCAAAGAATGATACCAGGAGAATTCATCAAGGGCCAGGCTGGGAGGCCTGGAAAGTCACGGGCGCTGTCTGGCCCCATGGCACCTGGGCGGGACTGGAGTCCAGGCTGGTCCTTGGGGGACAGGTCCTCGCACAGTTGGGGCCAAACCCTCCCCTGTGGAGTCTGACTGAGGACGGCCTTGCCCCGCAGCCCCGCCCCCTCATCATCCAGTGACTAGTGCCCTCACCTCCTCCTTCCCCCGGCACCGGCGGGGCCCCCAAGCCGAGCCTGGTGCAGACCAGGAGCCAGGTGCTCATCCCTCTCGCCAGGGCCTCATTCCTCAAGGTCCAACCTGCAAGGGGTGGGGCCGAGGGGCACTGTGTGAGGAGCATCCCCAAGAAATGCTCCCCAGGAGACCCTCCCTGTGAGGAGCGCCCCCCAACAGAGTGCTCTGAGTGGGCCACCACCTACACCCTCACCGTGTCCTGTGAAGGAAGCTGGGCACCCCTGTCCGCGCTGCACCGACAAGCAGCCACGGCTCGCCGGGTCAGTCGGCCCAACAAAGACTCGTGGCTGCAGCGCACAGGGGCGCCCTCACTCCCGGCCTCCTCGTGCATCCTGGGCTCTGAATCGGCTACACATCTGAGTCTGCCCACCAGGCTCCTCTCTGGGACCAGTGTTGTCTGCCAGCCCAGACCCCTGTCCCTGGGCCCGGGGCCCATCCCGAATTCTTTGGTGTCACACCCTGTGCCGACAGTAACATGCATTTTCCACCGGGACTCCCACAAGACGTGAGGTAGGAAGCCTGTGCCTGTTCGCTGACCAGGGAGCTGACGCCCAAGAAGGAGAAGTGCCTTGCCAAGGGCCACACAGCTGACCTCTAACACAGCCTCTCCCTTCTCTCTCCTTCGGGAAAGACCTATCCCAAGGTTCTGCCGCAGGAAGGCATGGGAGCATGGCGGCAGGTGCCCGTGTAGCAGAAGGCACTTCCTAGGATCTGTGTGGCACACCCCGTTCAGAGGTGCCAGTCCAAGCCCGGGACCCTGGGGGAGCCAGAGGTCAGCTGGAGACGGGGCTGGGTGTTAGGAACTGCCTGGGTGCTGCGGGGAGGCTGCTGGTGCCCTATCACCCCATTTGCAGCTCCAGATGGTGCACTGATAGCTCCTAAGCAGGAAGCAGGGTCCGCCTAGTTATGCAAGCCTGATGGGCGATAAGGAGGCAAAAAAGCAGACATACACACAGTCTTCGGTGCATGCTCACCGGGCAGCAGACACCACCCCCACCCCACCCCGTGTCCTTGCACACTGTCTGTGCACCCTCGGCACAGACCCCTGCTCAGGCCAACAGGCCCCCACCCTTCCCTAGAATGAAGCGTCTCCCACGCCACTAGGTACAGCGCCAACCAGGGTTGGAGCGCACAGCCCTCTGGCAGCAGTTACCAGATGCAGATGGGGGAGCGGCCAGACAGCAGCTCCCTCTCAGGGCGTGCGCACGCAGGGTCAGAGTGAGCACCCGGAGCTGGGGGAGCTCAGGCAGGGCAGGCCACAGGCCCCCAGGGAACAGCCACTGCTCCGGTGTGACCAGGAGCATTACTGAGGCAGGGCCACCGCCCTCCTTGACAACAGCCACTGGGCCCGGTGCAGAAAGCCCTGCCTGCATGCTCCCTGGTCCTGTTAGAGGCACTGGGGTGACACCAGGCAGGCCTAATCACAGCTTGGACAATACCCAGTCTTGGTACGGCTGTGAGAGCAGCGGGGAAGCCGATGTCTGCTCCCTTGGGACAGAGTTGCCCCTAATGCCTCCAGTCATGTTGGGGAGCCTGACCGATGTCCCTGTCCAGCACTGCCCCTCCCCCATTGGGCCGGTGGGTACGGCCATCAGTCCACAACCATTCTGGCCACTTCCCAGAACCTGATCTCCTCCATAGCCTCGAGGTGAAGGTCAGTCTGCCTGCCGTGGTTTCCTGGACCATCCCAAAGTCGTGCTGCATCCGTGCCTCAGGACCCACAAACACTGCCAGGCCAGGAGTGTGTCTCCAGACAGACGCAGCCCCCCCGCCTCCCTGGCCCTCACGCCCTGAGCATGCAAAGGATGCCCGGTGGAACCCCGGGCCACAGCAGGACGGCCTGCCGTGGGGGCTGGCAGGGCCGGGCAGGTCTGGGGCCCTTGGCACCTCCCAGCACAGCCTCCCAGTCGGCTTCGCGCCAGTTACTGCAGCCACTCACTGCCCCTCCTACAGAGTTTCTTCTGTCTATTTCCATGGGAAGGGAGTGATGTCCTGGTTATTCTCCCTGCCCGCCAGAGGCTGGCAGGCGCAGAGGCGAATGAGACAGAAGTTGCTCATTAAATGACCACTTATCTTCTGGCCTTCTCTCTGCTGGGCAGGAGGAATACGGCCAGACTCCAGCCCCCCAGAAACAGCTGGAACTTGGGGGATATGGGGACTGTGCTAGGAAATGAAGCCAGAAATGGGAGCAGAAGCCAATTCCCCTTCTGGGCCACACAAGCGCACGCGGGCCACACCAGCACCAGCAGGAACACGGATGCTGCGCCTCCTGTGGGGGCACCAAGTGGCTGCACAGGGCAGGGAGCGGGAGAGGTCGAGGCAGCTGGTGTGAGTCCAGTGAGGGGGCGGCGAAGGCTGGAGCAACAGGAGGGTGAGCGGAAGGGGCAGCTCCATCTGGGGGGGCACAGGCCTGGGAAACGCAGACGCGCCAGACGAGGAGCTATGGGAGAAGTAAGAGCTGGACCCAGAGGGGTCTCAGGTGAACAAGGGCACAGACAGAGGAAGGGCCTGGGGTGGAGGCCTGGGGAAAGGGTTGAGGACGGAAGTCAGAGGAGCACGGAGAGGTAGAGGGGGGCCTGGGGAGCGCCCATGGGTCCCTGCTGGTCTGCTCTGCAACCCCGAGCTTCCTGAGGTTGCCTCCTGGCCTCCTCTCACACTGCCCCCTCCGCCTGGCTTCCTTCCCCATAACATGCCTCTTCTTTCATGAAGCCCTCCCTGAGCACCCCACTCCTCCTCCCCAGCCAGACACAACAGGAGGAGGGAGGCAGGCGGTAGCTATGGGTAAGGGCTAGAATATGGGCATCGCCACACTTCTCTTTGGGGGGCTTGGAGGTTAACAGGGAGACATACCACCCCTCCTCTGCCTGTGTCCTTCTCCAGGAGTCCTCACTGCCCCCAGAGCCCCCCTCCATCAGGTTCTTCTGGGGCAAGAAGCTGATTTATGTTGTGCCCCTGCACCCATTCTAAACTGTTTAAGAAATGCATCCTGAAACTCCCTGCAGAAGCTGCCCTTGGTTCTGCTTGGCACTAACGCTTTGGGCAACTGGGGAAGGTGCTCCGGGACGTTACTTGAGCAAGAACGCTCTCTTCCCTTTCCTCTGCTTAGCTGAACTGACCCTCCTTCTGGAATCTCGCCCCTGCCGCTGCCCCACGCACAGCTCCAATGGGAGATATCCTGGGACTCCCAGCTGCTCTCCGGCCTTATGGCCCCCAAAGCATGGGGATTTCGAGAAACCACCAACCCCAGGGCCTGGACCTCATCTCCACCCACAGCCATCACAACCGAGACCACCAGGCACTGGAACGCTCACTCTCACTCATTCTCCCCCCTCCCCCCCTCCAAAGGTCAGCTCAGACCTCAAGGGAGCAAAGCCTCTTCCATAATCAGAAACTCTGTCTGACAAGCGCGGCGCCCTTCCCTCGGCCCAGTGGCACTCACGACCCCCACAGGCCTGGAAATGGCAGCCTGTCATCCTGCGGTCAGCGCTGCCAACCTGCTGTCTCCAGGAGAGGCCCAGGCAAGGACCCCAGAGGAGGTCAAAGTCGGGCGGTGCTGCCACACAGCCCATTGCCAAGGCTCCTCCTGGGGCCCCCTCTGCCTCTGAAGTTCACGCTGACTTGAGAGGTTAGGCAGCCCCAATCGCAGACTCACCTCCGCAGATGCGCCAGCTGGGTCCCATGGCGAGGACTGTCCTTGTGTTCACAGCAAAGCCCCTCAGCCTGATTCAGGAGATAAGTGCACCACCCGGTGACGTGCGCCTCGCACGACAGGCTGACACAGGCCGCCCACATCTGAAACCACGAGCACACAGTGCAGCCGGGCTGAGAGGTGACTGTCACCACTAACTGCAAGCCCGGGAATCGCAAGGTGGGACAGCCACATTCCCCGTGATGCTGAAGGTGGCCAGCCATGGACTCTGGAGACCTGTCCGCTGGCTGGCAGATGAGTGCTATACCCTCCTAAGGGGCACCACCGAGACCCATGAAATCAGTCCCGGGAGGCCAGGGCCTTGGCCAGGCAAGCGGCTGTGGGCCGCATCCCTTTCCAGGCTTTTCTGAGACCAGAGGTGCAGGCTGCTCTCCAGCTGAGGCAATCGGTGTGCCTTGGGGGCTGAGAGGGTGTTAAACATGAACTAATGCAGTTAAAGAGAACAAACGGGACGGGAGGAAGTAAAATGTGGGGGTCGCCTTTTACCCCACACAGACGTAGCCTGGGAGGGGTAGGCACAAGCCCCTCCAGACATCTCTAAGCTCAAATGCACATTTTAATGGACTCATACTGTGCTCCGAGCTTCCCGGCCTCCTTGCTCCTCTGTCCGTTTTCAACACTTCTCTAGGTCGGCACGAGAGCCCAGCTCGTGCCTTTTATGGGAGCACATTATGGTTTCATAATCCTGCCGATGGCCCTTTGGACTGCTGCCTATATATGCTATTTGAATTTTTATTGAGATATCACTGATCTATAGCATTATATTAGTTTCAAGAATATATACGCTATTTTATTTTATTTTAATTTATTGATTCTAGAGACAGGGGAAGGGAGGGAAACAGGGGGGGTGGAAACATCGATGAGCAAGGGAGACATTGAAGAGCTGCCTCTTGCACGCCCCCCAACTGGGGACCAAACCTGCAACCCAGGCCCACAACCCAGGCAGGTCCCCTGATCTGGAATCAAACCCACAAACTTTCAGTTCGCAGGACGACACCCAGACGACCGAGCCACAGGGCTATCTGTGCATGTTCACTGTGAAGACAGTGAACAATTCTGGGCATGGATCTCTAACCACCGGAACGAGTACTCGCTAGGGGTGGAGTTGTGGTCGAAGGCTCAGCATTTTTAAATATCAATAGAACCCTGGATGGTGTGGCTCAGTGGACTGAGTGCCAGCCTGTGAACAGAAAGATCACCGGTTCAATTCCCAGTCAGGGCACACACCTGGGTTGCAGCCAGGTCCCCAGTCGGTGGTGCCTGAGAGGCAGCCCATCGATGTGTGTCTCACACACTGATGCTTCTCTCCCTCTCTTTCTCCCTCCCTCCCCCTCCCTCTAAAAGCCAATAAATAAAAATAAAAACATATCAGTAGATACCGCCTAATGAGCCTCCAAAATCGTACCACAGTCCACTCCCACCAGAAGTGTGGGATGCCTGAAACCGCCCCCCCAACAGTATACAGGATCAGGCTTTAATCTTGGCTGATTCGATACGCAAAAGCACTTCATTACTGTTTTTATTTTGAGCCGGTTACTCGTGTGAAGATAAGCATCTTTGCCTGTACTTACTGGCTGTGTGTTCTTTTCAGCACCACATAAGTCACATCTGACTTATGTGTGTGTGTGTGTGTGTGTGCACACGCCTGTGTTCATCTGTAAGTGCCTGTGTGCACACATGTGTGTGCATGTGTGTGTCCTGTGCCTCAAAACACCTCCGAGAGGCTTGGCCCCCTCAGAGCCACAGCTCTCTGGGGTCTGAGGACACCAGGACCCTCAGAGAGACGGAGCCCGAGCCCGAGCCCGGGAAGCACCTTACGCGTGACCAGAGACTTGATCACATTTCAGTAAGCTCGGCCCCCCTACTTCCCGGTACAGGGACATTCTTTGAACTCCCTGGAGCCACCCCTTCACTAGTGTCCTCACCAGGAGAGTTTCCCTCTCTGTCTGCCAGAGCCCCCTCCCACCTGCCCAGAGACATAGTTCACTAATATCAAGCCAGCAGACTGCACCGCCCACGCCACGGTCCCCCAGGTGGGGACCACAAAGGCTGGAAAGGGAGGGAATAAGAGAAAGAAAAAAGCCAGAGAGGAGAGCTCCGAGTCTGCATCTAAACTCTCGAGAAATCTCTAAGGGACCCCGGACCCACACGCGTGCAGGCCCACTGCGCGCAGCCCAGTGGGGGTCATGCAGCCTGGAAGGAGGTTTTGGCTGCTGCCTGCATCAGAGACACGGAGCTTACCCCCTGTTTAAAAAAAAAAAAAAACAACTCTTCAGAGAAACGTAACAGGATCCATACTCTCTACAATGCACATCATTCACAATTACTAAATAAATCCAAAATTATTAAGCATATGAAGAAGAAGAACTAGGTGACCCATACGTAAGAAGAAGACAAGCAATGCAGACAGATTCCCAAGACTAAGTGTTAGAAATAACGCAGGTTTCAAAGCAACTACTTTATCCTCAAAGATGTAAAGGAAAATATGCCCCCAATGTATAGATAAGAAATCTCAGAGAGATAGAAACTGAAAAAAAAGAACCAAAAGGAAAGTATATAAGTGAAAAATACAGCATTGTAAGCAAAAGAAATACATCATAACAGTGCAGGAAACAAGACGGAGGAGTGACCGGAATAATCTTTGAAAGAGGGGAGGTAGCTGGTATTTGAGTGGATGGACAAGGAAATCACATCCTAACACACACACAGGAGAGGACACCTGAGAAGGTGGCCACGTGCCCCTCCTGGGTGGGGGAAGGGAGCCAGGAGAGCCAGGGACGGTCACCAGGATTCGCCCAAGTCCTGCACGGAGAACTGCCGAGCGGGCCGGCTCACTCCCCACACCTGCGCTTGTGGCGCGGGCCTGGTGGCGGACTCCACTCCCACACCCCTTTCCTGGACACTTAGACTCGGGAAAGCCAGCTCTTCCTTCCCAGAAAGTGCCCTGATGGCACATCCTGGTGCCCCACCCCCTCCCATAACACATGGAGATAAATAGAAAAACAACATCCACAGAGGAAAAACATCAAACACAAAAACATTCATCCAGGAGTCATCAAATACTTGTGAAAATACAAGACCATGGAAAAAAGGAAATCAGACATTAACAGTACCATTCATTCAGAGATGGTGTAAGGATTTTGCGACGTTAAGCAACATAATCCTCACAACCGTAGGAGGTACGCCGGGTGGTAGCAGACTGCAGCCCACAGACAAAATCCAGCACGCTCCTTTTTACAAAACTTGTGAGCTAAAAATAGTTTATATATTTTTCAATGGTTGGGAAAAAATTGCTTTAGAAATTGCATGACACACGAAAATATAAAATTCAAATCTCAGTGTCTGCTGTTTTATTAAAACCCAGCCACACTCATTTACATCTGCACTGTCCACAGCCGCGCTCACCCGTGGCGTAGAGGTGAGTGGCCGCCACAGAGCTTCCCACCGCTGCTCAGCACAGGGGCAGCTCAGCAGTGTGGCCCTCACTCTGCGTTTCAAGGGCCACTGGGCTGCTCTACTGCAGCGCTGGTTTTTTTTTTTGTTTTGTTTTGTTTTTGGCTTATCATCAGTGCACACTGAACATGTCAAAACAAGAAAAGTAAACTCTGAACATCAGTAACCATCAGGGAAATGCAAATCAAAACCACAAAGAGATATCACCTCACACCTGTCAGAAAGGGTTTTTTTTAAGATTTTATTTACTTTTAGAGAGAGGGAAAGGGAAGGAGAAAGGGAGAGAAACATCGATGTGTGGTTGCCTCTCACTCGCCCCCCACCAGGGTCCTGGTCTGCAACCCAGGCCTGTGCCCTGACCGGGAATCAAACTGGTGACCTTTTGCTTGACTGTCTGTTGCTCAGTCCACTGAGCCACACCAGCCAGAGCAGAATGGTTATTTCAAAAAGACGAGCAACACCCTGGCTTGTGTGGCCCAGTTGGTTGGAGTATTATAGCATAAACCAAAAGGTCACAGGTTCGATTCCCAGTCAGGACACATGCCTAGGTTGCGCACTTGGTCCCCAGTCAGGGCACGTGATAGAGGCAACCAATCAATGTTTCTTTCTCACATCAATGTTTTTCTCTCCCTCCTTTTCTTCCCCTCTCTCTAAGCATGTCCTTGGGTGAGTTTAAAAAAAAATTTAAGACAATAAATAACAAGTGTTGGCAAGGACGTAAAGGAAAAGAAATCCAATTTTCTGACTTCCAGCCAAGATGGAGGTGTAGATAGACACACTGTACCTCCTCGCACAACCAAAATAAGGACAACAATTTAGAAACAAAAAAAAATACCCAGAACTGACGGGAAACTGAACTGTATGGAAGTCGGACAGCCAAGGAGTTAAAGAAGACATATTCATCCTGACCAATAGGAGGGGCGGAGTCGGGCGGCGGGGCAGAGAGGACCCTTGGCAAGGTGGCGCAGCTGGCGGACCCAGTGAAGCGGCAGACTGTGGAGCGGGGTGCACAAGGCAGCAGAGGGCGGACCCAGGCAGGTGGCCGATTGCAGACTGGGAGGTCCCACATTCACACACAAATAAACTGGGAGAAACAACTGGGAAGCAAAACAGACTGTGCAACCCGAGGCTCCTGCACATGGAAATAAAGCCCCAAACCACTGACTAAAAACACCTGTGGGGGTTGAGGTGCCAGCAGAGACTCCCACCCTCACGGGAGAGTTCGTCGGAGAGACCCACAGGGTCCTAGAACATACACAAGCCCACACACCCAGGAATCAGCAACAGAAGGACCCAATATGCTTGTGGGTAGTGGGGCAAGTGACTGAAATCTGGCAGAGAGCGGAGCAAGCAACATTGTACCCCTCAAACCCCTACGCCACGCATAGTGTCGCAAGACAGCAACGTGGATTGCCCCACCATGGCAAACACCTGAGGCTCTGCCCCTCACATGTAACAGGTGCGTGAAAACAAACAAAAAAAAAAATTGGCCCAAACGGAAGAACAGATCAAAGCTCCAGAACAAGTACAACTAAGCGACCAAGAGATAACCAACCTATAAGATGCACAGTTCAAAGCACTGGTGATCAGGACGCTCACAGAATTGATTGAATTTGGTCACGAATTAGATGAAAAAATGAAGGCTACACTAGGTGAAATAAAGGGAAATGCACAGGGAACCAACAGTAATGGGAGGGAAACCAGGATTCAGATCAATGGTGTGGACCAGAAAGAAGAAAGAAACAACCAACCAGAAAAGGATGAAGAAACAAGAATTCAAAAAAATGAGGAGAGGCTTAGGAACCTCCAGGACATCTTTAAACATTCCAACATCCAAATTATAGGGGTACCAGAAGGGGAAGAGGAAGAGCAACAAGTGGAAAACTTATTTGAACAAATAATAAAGGAGAACTTCCCCAATCTGGCAAAGGCAATAGACTTCCAGGAAGTCCAGGAAGCTCAGAGAGTCCCAAAGAAGTTGGACCCAAGAAGGAACACATCGAGGCACATTATCATTACATTACCCAAGATTAAAATGAAGGCGAGAATCCTAGAAGCAGCAAGAGAAAAGGACAGTTACCTACGAAGGAGTTCCCACAAGACTGTCGGCTGATTTCTCAAAAGAGACCTTACAGGCAAGAAGGGGCTGGAAAAAAGTATTCCAACTCGTGAAATCCAAAGACCTACATCCAAGATTGCTCTATCCAGCAAAGCTTTCATTTAGAATGGAAGGGCAGCCCTGGCTGGTGTAGCTCAGTGGATTGAGCAGAGGCCTATGAACCAGAGGATCCCAGTTCAATTCCCAGTCAGGGCACATGCCTGGGTTGCAGGCCAGTTCCCAGCAGGGGACGCACCAAAGGCAACCATACATTGATGTTTCTCCTCCTCTCTCCTTCCCCTCTAAAGATAAATAAATAAAATCTTGGAAAATTAAAAAAAAAAAAAAGAATGGAAGGGCAGATCAAGTGCTTCTCAGATAAGGTCAAGCTGAAGGAGTTCATCATCACCAAGCCCTTATTATATGATATGTTAGAGAAAAGGAAGATCAAAACTATGAACAGTAAAATGACAACAAACTCACAACTATCAACAAATGAACCTAAAAGAAAAACAAAAACAAACTAAGCAAACAAGTAGAACAGGAACAGAACCACAAAAATGGAGATCACATGGAGGGTTAGCAACAGGGAAGTGGGAGGGCAGAGGGGGAAAGGTACAGAGAATAAGTAGCATAGACGTAGGTAGAAAATAGAAGAGGGGAGGGTAAGAATAGTATGGGAAATATAGAATCTAAAGAACTTGAGACATGTGGTCATGAACTGGGGGGGGGAATGGTGAGGGAGGGGTGTGCAGGGTGGAGGGGAATGAAGGGGGGAAATAGAACAAATGTAATGGCATAATCAATAAAACGTATTTTTTAAAAAAAGGAAATCCCCCTGCATTGTTGGTGAGATTGTAAATCGGTGCAGCCACTATGAAAAACAGTACAGAAGTTCCTCAAAAAATTAATGATAGAACTACCATATGATCCAGCGATTCCTCTTCTAGGGAGTTACTCAAAGACAATGAAAACTCTAATTTGAAAAGATATATGCACGCCTATGTTCATTGCAGCATTATTTACAATAGCCAAGATATGGAAACAACCTAAGTGTCTGTCAACAGAAAGAAGGATAACATTGTGGTGCACATATATGTTGGAATATTACTCAGCCATGAAAAAAAGAATGAACTCATACCATTTCTGACAACAAAGATAAACTTAGACGGTATCATGTTAAGTGAAATGAGTCAGACAGAACGGGACAAAAACCATATGCTTTTACTCACATAAGGAATATATAATAAGGACTAATACATGAGTGAATAAAAGAAAACAAAAACAAACTCGTAGGTACAGAGAACAGAGGGTGGTTACCGCAGGGGAGCGGGAGGGGAGGCAAAACGAGTAGCGGAGGTGAAGCGCGCACCCAGGGAAGCAGACTTGTGGTGGGGAGCACCCAGTAGCACTCACAGACGCCAGTGATAATGCTGTGCACTGAGACTCACACAGGGCGTTATCAGCAGCGTTACCTCGATTTTTAAAAATAAATAAATAATTTTAATGTTTTAAGTAATCTACAAATGCCACGTTTTTAAGGCACAGTGGAGAGTGGGTTATTCTGTCATCAGATCGGACTGCAAAGGCTGTTTGCTGTGCAGTGACGCCGTGGCTGGTCAGCATCACCAGCCCAGTGCCGTCACCGGCACTGTTCTCAACACACAGATTTCTTCACAAAAGTTAAAAGTAAAAACAAGGCAAACACATTAAATTTCCAAGTGGGTTATTTGTACACCAAGCAAAGAAAGCTACTTACTGATTGTGACTTATTTGCGTTTGACTGCAGCAGCAAGAAGTGTGCCCTGAGAAAATAAAATTAACGCAATCAGCCTTGGGTGAAAGCAGTTGTCTTAAAACTCAAGGACACCCTCTAGGCCGCAGGGCATCAAACTCATTTTCACCGGAGGCCACATCAGCCCCACAGTTGCCTTCAAAGGGCTGAAGTAATTTTAGGACTGTGTAAGTGTAACTACTCCTTAACTGTTAAGGAGTTAAAATTACATTCAGCCCTTTGAAGGCAACCACAAGGCTGATGTGGCCCCAGTGATAATGAGTTTGACACCCCTGCTCTAGGGGATGCTTGAATAAATCAAAGAGCATTAGCACACTTAAAGAAAAACTTAAGGACCCTGGCAGCAAACTTAATAGTCCATTCTGAATGATGCAAATGCTCTGAAGTAATTTTCCTTGGCTCCTGATGAATCCACAGATATCAGTTAAATTGCTCAATGGCTGTTTCTTCGAGGAGTCGGCACCTCAAGCCTGAGTGGGAAGTCACTGAAGAATTAGCTTCTATGCACAGTCTGCAAAGAACAACTAACAAGTGCAGGCCAGAACATTTTCAAAGGCCCTGGCCAGTGTGGCTCAGTTTGTTAGAGCACCATCCCATAATTTTACAGGCTCAATTCCCAGTCAGGGCACCTGCCTAGGTTGTGGGTTCAATCCCTGGCCCAGGCACAGTCCAGGCATGCACCCAGGCACCCATGGAAGGCAGTCAGCTGATACTTTTTCCATGTTTCTCTCCTCCTTCCTCTCTCTAAAAAAAGCAATGAAAAAAAATGTTCTTAGGTGAGGATTTAAAAAACAAGAACATTTTCAAAGTTCAGAAAATACCAGCTCAGTAGAACTTGAAGTGGGATCTGCCGATATGCGTTAGCATTGATGGTGGGAAACATATACTCAGAGCACGAACATGATCAGGTGAGAAAACAGACAAAGTTTGTAAAAACAAAATGTTTAAAGACTATGTTTTTTCACTCTATTATTCATTAACAAATACTTTGAGGAAAATATTTGCATGTCTCATCTGTATTGAATGCCAAGAATGAATTTCAGGCGCTTAACTAGCATTAACAAATGCACATTTGCATTTGATTTTTTTAGAAGTTGTTTTTAATCCTCACCTGAAGACATGCTTGTTGACTTTAGAGAGAAGGGAAGGGAGGGAGAGGGAGAGAAACATCAATTGATTGCCTTTCATAGGCACTGCAACCAGGGACCGAACCAGCAACCTAGGCATGTGCCCTGCCTGGGAAACGAACCCGTGACCTCTCAGTTTGTGGGACAACACCCAACCCACTGAGCCACACCAGCCAGGGCATTTGCACTCAAATTTTGATGACAAGAAACACTACTAATTTTGAACCTCAGTTAAGCAAAATAGTATCCATTATTTTCATCAATATACCTGTGTCACAAAATACTGTATTCAATGACTATGATTACAGTTCAACCTCTACCTATAAAAAAATTGTGAAAGTTGTTTTGTCTTTTCCTAGATTTTGACTCTTGACCCACAAAGTTCAAAAGTGACAATTACTGTCTCCATCCTGCACACGAGGGAAGGAAAGCAGAGGTGGGGCAGCTTGGCTAAGGTCTCGCAGGTAACACAGAGGTGGGCAGGCCACCTTCAGAGTCCACGGGCCTCCCCACGGATCCACTCAGCCTCTCACAACAAACACAGACAGAAGAACCGGCACCCGAGGAAATAAAAGTAGTGGCAGAAGCAGAAGGTATTAAGCACACGATAAAATCACCTTCGTAAAACCAGAACAAACTGTCTCAGAACACAACCGGTCACAGATAACGGGCTCAGATCCCCACCGACATGCTCACAGTGGTAAGAAAACAAGCCCGTGAAACTTGAAGACTCATCATTTCTGGACTGAAACTGGGTGAGGCTCCCGCGCATCATGACACAGGGCTTCTGGGCTGAGCTGACCTGAAGAAACGTCTGGGTTTCTAGAAGGCTCGAGATGCCCAGAACGCACTGATCGTGGGGAGGGAGGCATGCAGTGCTGTTGCTTCCATTGCCTTCGGTGCTCGACTTTTTACGGGCTGGCGGACACCCACAGCTGCAGCTGTCACTTACCCCGCTGTGCAGGAGTTCAATCATCCCTAACACCTGCGGTGCTGTAGCAACCGCAGCCTTCCTAACGATCAACACAGTACATACGGGACGGACAAGTCCAAGGTAATAGTGAAGGGTTCCTGCATCAAACAGGTGCTCACATTTGGCTGCTCCTTGGTCTCATATTGGCCTTTGGCTCTCTGATTGCATCCAGGTGGATTGTCTTTGGAGGTTACGTTGCTAAAGAAAAGCCATAGCATACCCTGGAATTGCTGTATTTTCCCAAAATGTTTTCATCTGTTTTTTTAACCCTCACCCGAGGGTATGTTTTGCTGATTTTAGAGAGGAGAGAGACATATCAATGTAAGAGAGAAACATCCTGTATGCACCCCAATTGAAATGATGCTCCAACCAGCTGGGCCCCTTTGCCTTTTTTGGAGGACAGGTTTTAAGCTTGGTGGCACCGAAGACTTATGACGGTGAAAGCCCCTGATTTACTGCTGCTGCTATACAGCAGTCCTGCCACTTTCTGTGTTTTATTACTCACTCCCAGTCTCTTGGAATGCCATTCCTTTTTTTTTTTTTTTTCTTAAGATTTTATTTATTTATTTTTAGGGAGAGAAAAAGGGAGAAAGAGAGGGAGAGAAACATCAATGTGTGGTTACCTCTCACATGCCCCCTACTGGGGACCTGTCCAGCAACCCAGGCATGTGCCCTGACTGGGAATAGAACCAGTGACTCTTTGCTTCGCAGTCTGGTGCTCAACCCACTAGGCTACGCCAGCCAGAGCTATAATGCCATTCTTCGAACTTCTTTCTGAGTGTAGTCTCAGCTTAAATTTGTGATACTAAGGACTTCTGCCAAGATGGAGGCATAGGTGGAGACGCCCTGATTTCTCACACAACCAAGTTTAGAGACAACTAAATATTAGCAACAGAAAACACAGCCAGAACATAGAAAATTGAACTTTTCAGAAGTCCGATAACAACAAATTCTTCAGCCTGACCGGTAAGAGGGGTGAAACCAGCAGCTGGCGGAGCGGGGTTGCACAGGAAAACTCGGTCAGACGGACTCGGGCGCACGGAATCCAGGCACAGGGTTGGACCTAGTGAGCGACAAAGCGAGTGACCTCGGGGAAATAGCGAGGGAGCAGGGCTGCGAGTTGACTGTGGTCACGCATTTGTGCGCAGATAGATAAGCGAGGGAGTGGGCAATTAGATGGGACCCAGCGGGCCCGCAACGGCAGCAGAGGGGGCAGCCATTTCCCCGCTCTGACCACGCCCCCACATACAGCGTCACAAACCAGCGACCTGGGAGTCCAAGGCTCCACTCTTCACACTTAAAGGGCACGAACAGACCAAAAATGGCTCAAGAAGATCTCAAAGCCCCAGAGCCTATAAATCTAAGTGATGAAGAAATAGCAAAACTCTCAGATACACAGTGTAAAACACTGGTGATCAGGATCCTCACAGAACTGGTTGATTATAGCCACAAATTAGACAAACATATGAAGGCGAAACTAATTGAAATGAATGGAATTGCACAGGAAACCAATAGCGATGAAAAGGAAACTGGGACTCAAATCAATGGAGTGGACCAGAAGAAAGCAAATAATGGCCAAACAGAAAAGAGTGAAGAAGCAAGAATTAAAAAAAATGAGGAGAAGCTTAGGAACCTCCAGGACATCTTTAAACGCTCCAACATCCGAATTATAGGTAGGGGTACCAGAAGGGGGAGAGGAACAGCCACCAGTGGAAAACTTATTTGAACAAATAATAAAGGAAAATTTCCCCAATCTGGCAAAGGAAATAGACTTCCAGGAAATCCAGGAAGCTCAGAGAGTACCAAAGAAGTTGGACCCAAGAATAAACACACCAAGGCACATCATCATTACATTAGCCAAGATTAAAATGAAGGAGAGAATCCTAGAAGCAGCAAGAGATAAGGGGACAGTCACCTACAAAGGAGTTCCCATCACACTGTCAGCGGATTTCTCAAAAGAGACCTTACAGGCAAGAAGGGGCTGGAAAGAGGTATTCCAAATCATGAAATCCAAAGACCTACATCCAAGATTGCTCTATCCAGCAAAACTTTCATTTAGAATGGAAGGGCAGATAAAGTGCTTCTCAGATAAGACCAAATTCAAGGAGTTCATCATACCAAGCCCTTATTATATGAAATGTTAAAGGGACTTATCTAACAAAAAGAAGATAAAAAAGATGAACAGTGAAAGGACAGCAAACTCAGTTATTAACCACACCTAAAACAAAAGCAAACTAAGAGGACAGCTAGATCAGGAGTGGAAACATAGAAAGGAAGATCTCAAGGAGGGTTAGCAACAGGGGAGTGGGAGGAGGAGAAGGGGGGAGAAGGTACAGAAAATAAGTAGCATAGACAGTAGATAGAAAATAGATGGGGGGCAAGAATAGTATGGGAAATATAGAATCTAAAGAACTTGAGACACTTTGAAACTAAAGGGGGGTAATGGTGGGGATGGGGGGTAGGGTGGAGGGGAATGAAGGGGGGAATAGAACGACTGTAATGGCATAATCAATAAAAAATAAATTTAAAAAAGAATATGTATACAAAAGGAATCTGAAGGCATATACACCAAATTACTGACAGCAAATTATTTCTGGAAAGTGGAATAATGAGTACAGAATCACTTTCCAATAAAAAAATAATAAGTAAAAAAAAAATTTTGTGATACTAAAATCATGACAAATCCCTATGTAAACAACAAAATTAATTGTGGTATACATTCAATTAACTCATAAAATGTTAAAGAAAACTACTTCACATGAGTAATTCTATGAAGTTTTAGCATGGCGTAACTTGTAAAAAAAAAGTAAATTACAAAAAGAAAAAAATCAATCATTTCTGGAAAAAAAATACCAAGACTTAAAAGTAAAAACCTGTATCAAAGGCATAAATTTAAGTCCCATGACTTTGTAAGTAAGACTTCATTATTAAGAGACTTGGAGCCCTGGCTGGTGTGCCTCAGTGAGTGATTGTCATCCTGCAAATCAAAGGGTGGCCAGTTCAATTCCCGGTCAGAGCACCTGCCTGGGTTGCAGGCCAGGTCCCCAGTGGGGGGCATGAGATCGATGTTTCTCTCACACATGAATGTTTCTCTCCCTCTCTTTTGCCCTCCTTCCCCTCTCTCTAAAAATAAATAAATAATATATTTTTTAAAAAGAGAGGGAGATTTGGAAAAGCAATTAAGTCCAAGACCCTGAGCACGCAATCAATCAATAACCTAGACCCTGTCCCCAGCTAGTTGAAAGTGTCCCTTTTCATTTCAGAGTGGAAAGAACACAGAAAGTATAAAAACATAGGATCTAATACATTTATTATAATCCTAGGTAGCAAGAATAAAAATAGTAAATTTAAATCTACATCATTAGCAATCTTGTAACCAGTTTAGTCCTAAGTCCTAGTTAATTTTGGAATCATGATTTGTGGTTTGACATCTACTTAAATCATATAAAACACTGAGAAGGCAATATTAAGTTTTTTTTATTAATATTAAAAATAAATTTTGATTAAATAAGTTTGCAATTAACAGTTAAATATTTAGGGACAAATAATGCACTAAATTAATAAATTTTACTTTATTAGTTGTGCAGTGTAAATACTTAAGATTGTTGGTTGATAGTAAAAGAACATCAGTTGTCCAATAAATGTAAAGGATGAATGAACAGGACCTTAAACAGCGTTCTTAGTTGTGCATACCCCCCCCCCCCAAAATCTCCCTGGACATCAATGAGTTCATCCACTGATTGGCAGGTGGGCTGTCCATTTCCTGATACCCTGGCCAACGACCCTAAAAACGTTGGCTTCCCACCACACCAGCAGAGACCCTCAGGATACACGGTGCTCACTCCCCGGCTAGGAATCCACTCCGGGGAGTAAGGTACACAGCCACCAACACAGCCGGGCCAACCCGGCTCTAGTCCCGCCAGCGGTGTCCACACTGAGCATTGCAGCACTTGTAGAAGGTGGTCATCGGCTCGTCTGCAGAGCGGGTCTGAAGCTGCATGAAATAGGCACGAGGATGTTCACATTTGGGACATGGCTCTAGAAACAAGAAAAAAAAACAAGTGACCCACAGAAGAAAATGATGTCTGTGACCAACATACCTCTTAGAGGTATGTTGGTGAAAGGCAGCAAAGACCGTGCTCGATTATCTAGTGTTCCCTGTACCATGATTTAAGGTTACAGACAGTGGTCGCATCCCCACTATGCTCTCACACTGAGGGAACCAGGAGAGCTTGCAAACCCTTCTCCTCCCCTCCCCAGGTCCCACTTCTCTTCTCAAATCTGGTTGAAAATAATGTAAAAGGTGACTTATGGCTGCTGTGTGAATTACAGGGTCTATACCCCACATGCTTCCCTAATGTGCGCCCTCTCATCTTCCCAGAGAAGCTCCAATGGAGGACTGGCCTACTTGCCCTTGTACTCAGGGATGCACTTTGGCAGTGAGCGCCTCAGGCCGTTCTTACCAAGGTCTCACTGCCCCTCCCACACCTTTTCAGAGGGCCCCAAGGCACACATTTACCTTCAGAGTGATTTCACTGTGAGAAACTAACACTGCTCTTGATGGAAACACCTTCCCACCCTCAAACACCATTTTGAACATTTGGTACATAATTCATCTTTTAATTACAAAGTCTGCCACTGCTAAATTTTTAACATAGCAGACTGGGATGGTCTTCCACAGGGAAGGAGACAGTACTGATCATGACTTAGATCCTTCTCCTCTCAGTACTGGTGGCATCTAGAGCTCTTCTCTGTCTTTCTTCCATCACAACTGTATCAGAAATGAATCAATATTTGAAATAAACATTTATTTTACTGAGGCTGCAGCTTAATGCTCTGTGGTATTAACTTTTAAAACTCTGCATTAGAGCAAAAAGGCTGTATTTTTCCTTAGACTTGCATTATTACTCCTGCCATTGTTGCCATGATAGCTACCACCTGTTCAGCGCCTGTTACCGGCCAAACACTGTAGAGCTCATTTTGTGCTCTTACCACCTACGAGTATGGATTAGCCCCCAAGAGGTCAAGGGACCCAAGATCACGCCACAGTAAGAAGTCACCCTGAAACTCCAACTCAGACATGCATGACTCCAAGGCTTGCTCCAATATCATTTGTGTAACAAATAGGTTATTAAAAAACAAATACACTCTCTATCTTTAGAAGCCCACTTCCTGTAAGTAACCACAGATTCTGACACAGACAGTCAGCAGCCTCCTGTACTTTATCCACAACTTGGTAATAAAGAGTTTTCCTTTCCTACCTGCAGTAGAGTCAACATTCTCCCAGGCAGCTGCTCCACCAAGCACATCATCCACTTCTTTCAGCTTTGGATACTTCCGATTTGTAACCTAACGAACAACAGCAAGACTTTCAACTCTCCAGGTCAGTGAACAGGACAGATCTGAGCAACCGAACCATACCTCCATACCTGCCCCCAAGGGTCTCCCCAGACTGCCTTCCTTCAACACTGACTGCAGTGGTACTAACTACAAACAAGGAGGTGCACGACGGGAGGGCCTCCGAGAGGCTGGTGTTGCTGGGACAAAGGAGCACCTTGGTATGTGAAGTCAGAGAAGCGAAGCTCGGGGGAGAAGTTCCGTCCTATGAACGCTTTAGCTTCCACTGAGTGCACGGGGGTAACTGCCGAGGGTTTTTTGAGCACGGGACGGTCTCGGGTTGACTTAAAAGTTAACGGGACCACTCTGGCCGCTGTTGTGACCACAGCGTAGGGAGCACATGTGTGAGCCGCCAGCTCAAAGAGAAGTAACGACAATAACCCAGGGTGACGGCGTTGGGAAGGGATACACGGATGGATTCCAGTCGGACTCGAAGGTACGGCCAATCGGAAGCGGCCGGGAGAGAACGGGAGGATAGAGGCGGACTCTGGGAATGGTGGCCGTAGAGCGCCGGGAGGCCTGTGAGAGGCGCCCGGCCCGACTCCGGGCTCGGTACGAACCTTGCGGGTGATGTTGTGCACGTAAGGGCAGGTATTGCAGGCGAAACGGTGGCAGCGTTGTCCCTCTTCCACAATGAGCCCATTCCCACAGCCCGGACAGAAGAGCAGCATGACAGAGACTTGCCCTGCAAGCCCCCGTAGTCCCTGCGGCCGTTCGGTGCCAAGTCAGAGTTTGGCCTTTGCTCGCCTAGGACCCGGACACCACCCCCTCAGCCCACCAATAGACACGCGGATTCTGCACTCCCAGGGAGCACTGCGGCAGGCCACCTTGCCCTTCTCATTGGTTCTGGCGGAAGCCCCACCTCTTCATGCTCTTCTGGCGGAACTGCGTGTGGTGTCTCCCGTACAGCACGCTCAGGGTCGCTCCTGCGGGCTGCCAGTCCAGACAGAGCTCTTGGGACGTCAAGGCGCCCTGGAGGAGGCGGAGGCGGAGGCGGAGGCGGCGGCACCACCTGAGGTGCAGGAAGTCGAGGAGGATGAAGAGGAGGCCCTTCCGCACTCCGAGGCTGTGGATGTGTTCCAGGAAGGTCTAGCCATGGTGGTGCAGGACCCACTCCTATGCGATTTACCGATCCAGGTGCGCGCGGGCAAGGGACCGGGGTTGTTCCCCAGTGAGCTGTGCCTAGGGGCGTGGACCGGCCCGCGGTGCTGATGGGGGCAGCGTCCCAGAGACCTCAGTAAGGCACCTCTAGGCGTAAACGAGAGTTTTAATCAGGGCCGGGCCTAGGATGGGGCTGCGAGGCTCTCGCCTTGGGCACGGAATTTAAAAGGGCGCCAAAAAACCCAGTTGTGAGGATACCTGACATTTTAACACATAGGTTTGTAACTCAAAGTTGATGTAAACAAGCCTATGGCAAACAATAATAAAGACATAGTTATTATTACTGGGTTTTCCCTTCTCAGTCTTAAGTATTAGTTCGTCCAACGTGGAGTTTTAGAATTAAACTACTATTTTCTTCACCTGCCACAACCTTGTCCCCAGGCTCAGGCCTGGATCCTGGTTGGTGGTCACAGGCTCTCAGACTGACAAGCAGGGTTCTTTCTCCTCCTGTTCATACCCTGGTGAGAGTATCCAGGCTGTTCATTCTTCTTGCCCGTTTCTCTGTTCCTTTCTTCCGAGTCTCTGTCCACTTTGGACTTTAAATAGAAAATGTGGTGGAACTTGAGACTGAGCTGCCGAAAAACTGGGAAGTCCTAATGTATAAGCGAGAATCCCTTCCCTTTCTTGTTCTTCCTAAAATATGGCACCACTTTTTGCACACTAACAGCTTGTTTTTCTCTGTTGTTGGGGGTGGTAAAGAGAACCAGGGCTCCCACCTCCACCCGTGGTCTTTTCTAGGTTACTTTGGAAGAGGTCAATTCCCAAATAGCCCTGGAATACGGCCAAGCAATGACAGTCCGAGTGTGCAAGATGGATGGGGAAGTCATGCGTAAGTGCTGCCCATCTCCCTTCAGGCCATGCAGGCTGAGCTTTCACAGGGGCTGGTCGGCGGGATGCTGAGAGACCATGCCCAGGGGGTTGGGGGCAACCACAAGCCCACCCTGCCCCATCTTGAGCCTCAGTCAGAAACAAGGCTTGACAGGGCTTCTGGGTTCCTTTCATGCCATCCGAGGCTGTGGCCATGAGACCCTCTCTCATTTGTCCCTTGTGGCAGCTGTGGTTGTAGTACAGAACGCCACGGTCCTGGATCTGAAGAAGGCCATCCAGAGATACGTGCAACTTAGGCAGGAGCGCGAAGGGGGCATTCAACACATCAGCTGGTGAGTGAAACGTGGCTGCTCCTTGCAGCCTTTCCTGGGAGGTGGTGCGGGACTCCACGGAAGCCCCTGCCGGGCACGTGCTTTCAACTGCCTGGTCTCAGTTACCAAGTACTGACAAGTGACGAGCTCCCTATTGCCGTCCTTCGGATCCTTCAGATAAGGTGGCGCTTCTGCACCTAGGGGTTATGCACCATGAGCCCTCCTCACACCCAGCCTCTGCATCCCAGCTGCCTGGCTACCCCTGCTTGAGGTTTACCTGAATCTTTATCTTGCAGGTCCTATGTGTGGAGGACGTACCATCTAACTTCTGCAGGAGAAAAGCTCACAGAGGACAGGAAGAAGCTCCGAGAGTAAGTTCAGGCCACATCTTAAGCTGCAGGGAGGCATGCAGACTGTGCCCTCTGGTTTCACATGCTCTACCAGAGGACTGGGCCCTCCCAGCAGGCTCTTCAACCAGTTCCTGGGAATTTGAGACCAGGGGAGTCCCTGGCTAGACCAATGTCCTCCTGCTGGGGGCTCTCCCTGCTCGGAGAATGGGAGGGAGGGGAGCAGTGAGGGGCCTACTGTTTCTTACTAGCGGCAGTTCAGGGCTACGCAGAGCCCAGAAGAGAGGAGAAAGAGTGTGTGAAGGCGAAAGGCTTCCCACTGGCACAGTGCGAGTCTGTGCGAGGATGGCCACCACCCCTCCTTCCTTCCTGGACAGCACATCTCCTCCCCATTCGTTCTTGGTTTCTCACAAGCCTCAGGTGAGGCATCACGGACATAACTGTAAATTGGATACTTGACATTTTTCCTTCTCTTTCAGTTATGGTATCCGGAATCGGGATGAGGTATCCTTCATCAAAAAACTGAGGCAAAAATGAACCTCCAAGCAGGACAACTGTGTGCTGGTGGCCAGGCTTCTCCCAGGTCATTGTCGCCTGTCCACAGAAGTAGACTCACCAGCTGTGCACAGCTGGAACTGCCAGAGTGAACTCGGGGCCCTCGGGAGTAGGACTGGGTGAGCCCATGCTCAAGACCTGAACTTGACCCCCTCCCTGACCTAAACACCATAATTTCATGGCGGATCCCACAGGACTGTGGGCATGGCCTCGTGTACAGAATAAATCTCTCTGCCATTTAGAAAAGTGACAAAGCCACAATACCAGGGTGAGAGGGCCTGACACAGCCCCCATCACAGGGGAGGCAGGGGGCAGAGAATGGTGCAGGTGAGTCCTAAAGGTCTAAGGTGCCATGTGAGCCTGTGGCTGTGATCTCTACAGCAGGCAGGAAATAAAGCAAAGCAACCGACTTTCTGTTTCTGCTTGTGGAGAAGAAAGAGCTTGTGTGCAAGAGCGCAGCCATGCACAGGGTCCACCTGCCTCAGTGCCTTCCCCCTGGCTCCTTGGATGGGCGGTAGCCTGGTGCTGAAGCAGCAGCTGCTGGTTGGGCTTATGGGGGCACTTCTAAGTCTGGGGGTGGGGGCATGTGACAGCTTGCCCATGGGTCTGTGTCTGTGGCTATCCGTCACTCTGAGGAAGGGGAGCAGGTGGGTCTACCTGACTTAGGGGCTTCACTGGGGGGAGGTGCTCGGACACTTTCCGTCAGAAAGGAGGAGACAGCTCAGGTCAAGTTGGTGGCAGCTAAAACGCTCCCAGTCCATTTATTGGCCACAAGAGGTGGTCGTCAAGAGACTAGTTAGAAGGTAATCACAGGAACTAGTGTAATAAATGCCCAGAAGTACAAGAGGTTCAACAATGGTGAACAAGGCACAAGAGGTCTGTGTCCAGGAAACAGGACGCCCACAGGGCTTGCTTGACAAGACCCTTTGTCCTGTGAGACTCAGGGTGGGTGGTCTGCCTGGCCCCAGCCTGCTGCAGGCCTGTGGCCCCGCCACCCCCCAGCTCAGTGGAGCTGGGCATCCAGCTCATACTTCTCACAGAACTTGTCGGTGAAGGGGATGCAGGTGAGGAACTCGCACCACTCACAGCGCACAGGGTAGAAGTAGAAGAGGACCACCAGGCCAGCCAGGAGGCCCAGGAAGACCACCTGGAAGACGATGATCTGGCAGCGTTTACGGTACAGGTCGAACTTGCCGAAGCTGATGTACGGCAGGAAGGCAAAGGAAAGGAAGAGGCCGCTGACGAAGCCGGAGATGTGCGCAAAGTTGTCGATCCAGGGCAGCAGCCCAAAAGTGAAGAGGAAGAGTACCACCGCCAACAGCTTGAAGAAGGCACGCCAGGGCCGAGCCAGAATCTGCCAGCTCTGGAAGAGCTCCACGAAGAGGCACGCCAAGATGCCGAACTGGGAGCCGGCCGGGCCCACCTGTGTGGGCAGTGGGGATGCTGAGCAGGGTCCTTGGACCGCAGCCGGCCCACCTCTCGTGGCCCAGAGCACAGCAGGACGGAGGGGCCACATGGAGATGCTCCCAGGCTTGAACCTGGCAGCAGCCTTACCTCTGCCCGGTATGGCAGGAATATGGCACTGGCTAGGTTACCGGTGACGCCACTCAACAGGTAGATGATGGCTATGCGGTGCCAGCCTGCTAGCTTCTCCAGGTCCCTCAGCACGGTCATCTGGAAGCAGACGGACACCAGGCAGTGCAGGATGCTGTGAAGTAGGGAGGGGGCACTCAGCAGGGAGGGCCACGCCCTCTCCAGCCACTCCTGAGGTCCCTGAGACCACCCGACCCTGCTCAGCCGGTACGTGTCACTTGCCCGGCGTGCAGGAAGAGGGACAGCCAGAGGCGGTAGAACTGGTCAGGCACCTCGGGGTTGAGGAAGGGCAGGAGCCCGCACACGTCGTCCATGCAGTGCACCTGCGCAGAGTGGCCTGTCAGCGCCTGCCCCGGCGGGCGGGGAGGGCGCGCACCCGGACGCCTACCTGAGAGCAGAGTGTGGCCTCCTCGTGGAAGTAGCCCCTCATGAAGTCACAGTACTCCCGGGAGGTGATCTCACACCTGGAAGGTCGAGTCAGGGTGGGGAAGCCTTGCAGAGTGGGAGGCCAGAGCCCGGGGGCAGAGGTCCCTGATCACACCACGCAGTCCTGGGTCTCCGCCCGACTCCCCTGTCTGCTGGCCCCGGAGAAGCCCAGACCCTCTCCCCCCGCGCCCTCGCTATGCCATGGGATCCCAGGACTCGGCAGAAGGCCAGAGCCCCGGGGCCCTGCTCTGCGAGCTGGCACACCCACCTGCCCTTGGTGCCGATGCAGCAGGGCCGGCCTGTGATGACGCAGTCCATGTGGGGGTGGTTGGTGTGGTTCCCCGCGCTACTTTTGGTGCATATCTGGGTCACAAATGGGACGAGTTGGGTAGGGGCCTCCTCCAACCCTGGGCCCACACTGTGCTTTGGGGGTTGGGGCAAAGGTGGACAGGCTCCACAGCAGAAAGCAGGCCTTGACTTCGAGCAAGCTTCTGCATCCTAAGCCTCAGTTTTCCCATCTGTCAGGTTGAATTCATGTCATTTGACCTCCCAAGTCTGTGTGGTTCTGGCTACATGTTTAGAGAGGCAGGTGCTGGTGGAAGGATCAGCTAGGCCGAGACCACGGGCATTACATCCGAAGACAGGGTGGTCCCACAATGGGGACCTCCTGGCCTCATAAATGGGTGAGGTGTGGACACCTCCCCCACATGGTACCGGTGACTCCCCACAACCCCAGCAATTATCCCAGCTCACCGGCCACTTGGTGATGTCATCTGGCCACTCATGGGGGTCCTCAGAGGAGGGCTCATCACACACCCTGCAGGAGCCCAGGAGGCAGTGAGACCCCGCCTTGTGTCCTTGCCACCCTCCCACCCAGCCCCACGGGGGAGCACCTGTGCCCTCTCCCAGCTGCTCAGGGAGGTGGGAATGGGGCCAGCAGTACTGACCTGGGGTCCTGGTGACAGACAGAACCGAACTGCCGCTTGTGGCCACCGAGGTCCGGGACGCTGGGATGGAAAGGCCACTTCACCCACACGGCCAGTGTAGACTGTGGGGGACAGGGCCGTCCTCAGAGCCTCCCCACAGCCAGCACGGTCTCCAGAAGGCAGGAGTCGAAAGCCAAACGCCAAGATCCTCCCGAGCCCATAACCCAAAATCTATCCATTTACACGCTGGCAATGTGCGCGCATGTGGGGGGAGAGTGTTACAAGCTCAAGAACGTAATTCGAGTCAGCGTAAAATTAAAAACCACCTGTGCGCAAAGTTAGGGCCCAACATAAATGCTGGCACCACCTCATAAAACATAATAAAAACTTGGAGGAGGGGGGTGGGCTGGGATGGGAGTAAAAAAGACAGAAAACTGTACTTGAACAATAATTAAATAAATTTAAAAAAAATTACTTTCCATCAGGGAAAAAAAACTTCGATGAATCTTTTTCTTTTGTAGTTGTTTGGTGGACAAAATAAGGCAATACCACTTCCGTACACTTAAGACAGGCACAAAAACAGCACAAAGCGCACGCCCAAGTCAGAGACACCACACGACTCCCTAACGGTGTCTGTGGGGGCAGACCGAGGGGTGGAAAGTGGTGACCATTACACAAGGGCCCTCGCGCAACGGGAAGGCGCACCAGGCCACGATCGGAGGAAAGGACAACTCAACCAGCGCCACCCAGAGTCGCAACATGACCTCAACCACACAATGCAGAGCTGCGGGCCATGCGCTGTGGGGAGGGGCATGCACTGTGGGGAGGGGCACGCACCGAGCACTCCTCCGCTGAGGTCTGCACGCAGCCCGACCGGTCATTGCGCACACAGCAGGCGGAGTGCTTCTCCCGCTCCCGCGCAGCCAGGATGAAACTGTGCACCTGTGGGTCCTGGCGCATGCAGGGCGAGAACTTGGCGCCCAGGTGAATGAGAGCCTCCTACAGGGGGTAGAATGTGCAGCTGAAGCCCTGGTTGGCTGCCGGCCCGGACTCCTTGCCCACCCACCCTGCCAAGCTCCTCCCTCACCGAACTGGGCCCAATCCAGAAGTTCTCTTGCTGCACATACTTGACATTCTCATAGACTCCACGGTTCCGCAGCACCTGAGAAGTCGGGAGGGGGTGGGTGGAGATCAGAAGGAGCCCACTCAGGCCGCCTCCTTCCTGGGTGGTCCGGAGGGAGTCCAGAGAGGGCCTTGGGGCTCACCGAGTCCACGGTCTCATGCTGCGAGAAGCCCACAGGTGCAATGCCGTAGATGCACACGGCCAGAATGGTGACCAGTGAGTGCACGAAGGTGAGCCAGTAGGTGAAGAACGGTCTGCAGGGCAGAGCGTCAGCAGAGGTGGGAACGTGGCATCTCCAACCCGAAGCCCCCACCCCAGCGCAGAGTCTGGCCTGCCACAAGCCACATCCCCACCGTGCCCACCTGTGGTCGTCCATGTCCTCGATCTGGCGTTTGACATAGCTGTCGATCCGCTTGCGATAGGTGCGGTTGGTTAGCCGTCCCACCATGCCCAGCCCATAAGGCCTCTTCTCCCGGGCAAAGAACTTGCGCACTGGCATAGCGATACGCTGGCCCCTCCGCTGCCCCACTGTGCTCACCACCTCCTGACGCAGCCGCACCCTGGGCTGCAGGGCCACGGGGCCGCCCTCCTTCTGCTTCCGCCAGCCACGTTCCAGGGGCCTGGGGGGAAGAAGCACGGTCACCTCCCATGCCAGACCCCTGTCCTGCCGCAGTCTGGCCCAGGCAGGCCCAGGGCAGCCCTCTGTCTCTGTCTTGCTCCCACGCAGTGGTGAAGACTCTGTGCACCCTCCTCCTTACATCTGAAGGGCAACCCCGAGCCCTTCCAAAGGTGGCAGGAAGGGGGGACAAGATCTATGACAGTTCCCTGGCCTCCCCGCCGAATTCTGTCCAGCCTCAGGGCTCTGGGACTTCACTTCTGTTCCACAGGTGGGCAGCTGAGACTCGAATGGAGCCCAGCCCCGAGTCATCCAGCCACAGTAGCCAAGGGGCCCCCTTCCCTCAACCCTCCAGGGCATCCTGCCCGGGCCCCACTGCTCCTGACCTCCGGCCCCAGCCCCGACTCCCCCCGCCACACCACTCCCGCGCACAGCATCAGGTGGCTGCGCTCCAGCTCCGCGCGGTCCAGGGCACCCCCCGTCATGTCCGCCTGGTCTGGGGCTTTCTCCCAGTCCTTGAGCGCTGCCTCCGACGGGGACTCGAACACCTCATCTGGGTATGTGGACAGCTCCTCGTGAAGGACACCTTCCTGAGCAAACACACACGGTCAGGGCGGAACACGTAGGTGGAGGGGTCAGGGGGACACCCCTGAGCTCTTACCCGGGCAAAGAAGGAGGTGTCCAGCTCGTCAGGGAAGTCCGCTGTGTCCTCCTCCAAGAAGCTG